ATCACGACCCTGGAGGGACTGCCCGAGGACGGGCAACTGCATCCCGTCCAGCAGGCCTGGATCGATGAGCAGGTGCCGCAATGCGGGTTCTGCCAGAACGGGCAGATCCTCACGGCCGCGGCACTGCTAAGCACCACCCCGAACCCGACCGACGACGAGATCCGGGAGGGCATGAACCCGATTCTCTGCCGCTGCATGACCTACTTCCGGATCCAGTCCGCGGTGAAACGCGCAGCGGTTGCGATGGCCCAGACGGAGGCAGACCGATGAGCGGGCGCGACGCGCGAAGAGGGCGGGAGCTGGCCAGCGGCGAACCCGATGCCCCCGTGGGCAAGGGGCCCGCGACCGGCGACGGTCAGGTCGCGAACTCGATCGACCGCGCTGTCGAGCGCTGGGGCGGGACCACTTCCCGGCGCGACTTCCTCAAGACTTCGGGACTGTTCGTCTTCGGGCTGAGCGGAATGAGCGCGGCTGGGGAGCCGATTGGGGCGGCCCGCCAGGGCGTTGGGTCCAGGCCTTCGGAGCCCGGTGCCTATCCGGATCCCGACTTCCTCCAACTCGACTCGTGGCTGGTCGTGCACGAGGATGGCAGCGCGACCTTCTATATCGGCAAGACCGATGGCGGCCAGGGGACCGGGACCGCCACCCAGCAGATGATGTGCGACGAGCTCGACATCGCCTTCGAGCGGGCCACGGTTGTCATGGGACGCACCGACCTGACGGTGGACCAGGGCGGCTCGGGCGGCTCGGACGCGATCGAGCGCGACGCCATGGTCGGACGCCGGATCGCGGCGGAGGCCAGGCGGGTGCTGCTGGAGATGGCGTCGGAGCGCTTCGGCGTGCCCGTGGAGGAGCTCGCGGTGAGCGAAGGCGTGATCTCGCTGCTTGACGATCCCTCGCGGACGGTCACCTACGGCGAGCTGATCGGCGGGCGGCGCTTCGATGTCGCGCTGGCGGGCGCCAACATCAACTCGACCACCGGCGTCGCGAGCATCAAGCCGGTGCAGGACCTGAAGCTTGTCGGCCAGTCGATTCCGCGCTACGACATCCCCGCCAAAGTCGACGCATCGTTCGAGTGGGCCGTCGACGTCAACCTCCCGGGGATGGTTCACGCCCGGAACGTGCGCCCGCCCTTCGCGGGCGCGACGCTAAAGGGCATCGACGAGTCATCGGTGCGCGATGTGCCCGGCCTCATCCGGGTCGTCAGCAAGGGCAACTACGTCGCGGTCGTGTGCGAGCGCGAGGAGCAGGCGATCGAGGCTGCGAAACGTCTTGACGTCACGTGGGAGAAGCCCGCCACGGCGCCCTTCCCGGCATCGGAAGACCTCTTCGCCTACCTGCGGAGCGCGGAGGGAGTGCCGGGCTCGGGTGGACGGGGGCGGCGCAGAGGTGCAGGGAGACCCCGATGGAGCGCTGGCGAACGCCGCGACCGTCGTTGAAGCCGCGTACGACATCCCCTTCCACGGGCACACCGCGATCGGGCCCGCCCACGCCCTGGCCGATCCCTCGGACGGCCAGATGACGATCTACACCAACGACATGAAGCCGTACAGCCACCGGACCGGGATCGCCGAGTTCCTGGGCATGGCGCCGGAGCAGGTGCGGGTGATCTGGATGGAGGGGCCGCAGCTCTACGGGCGCACGGCGGCGGACGACGCGGGCTTTGAGGCCGCGTACCTGGCCAAGGAGCTGGGCCGCCCCGTTCGCATGCAGTGGATGAGGCACGAGGAGACGGCGTGGGACACCAAGGGTCCCGCCTTCGCGATCGACCTCCGGGGAGGGCTCGACGCGGACGGCAACGTGGTCGCGCTGGACTATCAGGGCCGGATCGCCAACTACGCGCACCTCGGATACAACCAGGCCCGGACCGTGCTCATCGCGCAACTGATGGGGCTCCGGCCCGAGCGGCCGTCGCCTGGGGGTGCCCGCGGGCCGGACGACATGTATCACATCCCGAACCGGCGCCAGGAGACGCGGGCGATCCGCTTCCCGCTGGCCTTCGAGACGCCGCTCCGCACCGGGAACCTGCGCGATCCCAACGGCCCGCAGACGACGTTCGCCGGGGAGTCGTTCGTGGACGAGCTGGCCGCGGCCGCGGACGCGGATCCGGTCGAGTTCCGGCTGCGCCTCCTGCGGGGCGCAACCGATGACGACGAGGCTCTCCGCCGGGCTCGATCGATCGCGGTGGTCGAAGCGGCCGCCAAGGCGTACGGATGGGACGCGCGGCCGTCACCCGGGACGGTAGGCAGCGGGCGCTTGCTCACCGGGCGGGGCATCGCGTACGCGTACCGCGCCCGCACCACGATCGCCGTGATCGCCGAAGTCGAGGTCGACCGCGAAACCGGGCGGGTGCGGGTCCCGCGGATGGTGTGCGCCCACGACTGCGGCCTGGTGATCAACCCGAACAGTCTGGAGAGCACCATCCAGGGGAACCTCCTGCACGGGATCAGCCGGACGCTGTACGAGGAGGTCCGGTTCGACGGCGAGAAGGTCACCAGCGTTGACTGGCGCACGCACCCGACCCTCACGCACATGGACGCGCCCGAGCGCATCGATGTCGTGATGGTGAACGGCGACCCGAACCCCGACCGCCCGGACCTCAGCCCTACGGAGCGGGTGAGCCCTCGCACCGGCCCGTTCCCCGCGGCCGTCGCGAACGCAATCCATGACGCGACGGGAGTGCGTATGCGAAGGCTGCCGCTGCGGCCGGAGCGCGTGCTGGAGGAGTGGAGCGGCGGGGGTGTAGCAGCCGGTGGTGAAACCCGGGCGGCCCAGTTCCCCGGTGGGGGCTCGAGCGGCGATGCATCCCGCCTGAACCGCGCCGCTTTGCGGCGCTCTGCGTTGCGTTTCGGTCGAAATACACCCGGGCCAGTTCTCCCGGTGGGGCTCCTCCCCACGCGCCTTGTCAGCCGGGCGCCTCGCCGCTCTCGGCGCTCACCGGGTTCCACAGGCTGTAGCGTTGACTCTGAAGGATCCATTCGCGCGCGCAGCGCGTCGCGGGAGAGGGTGTGGGGCGGGTTCCCTCGCCCACGAAAGACGGTGGAAGGAATCGCGCAGCGATCGCGCCACCAACCCGTGGTGAAAGTGCCCCGCACGCGCTCAAACCGCCAGATCAAACCGCCAGAATTGGGGCGCGGGTCGTTCCGAGATTCGTGCGGGGTGCTTTCACCACGGGTTGTCAAGGGCATGCCGCACGGTCCAGAGTGATTTGGGAAACGAGAATCTGCCACCAGCGTCGGACCGTCAGCGGTAGCCGCGCGCCTCGAGCGCGGCCGCGAGTTCGGGGAAGGCTCGGAGCGGGAGGGGTTGGGGGCAGGAGCGCCGGTGTTCACACCGGCATCGCCCCGCATGGCGGGGCGAAACTCCCGTGGCTATTCCCGGGTGGCTATTCCCGCATGGCGCTGCGCCGAATGGGGATGGCGCGATGGGAACCCAAGGGACGCTTCGCCGTCGTCGCGGTGGGTCCGGGCTATGAGCGAGGGTAGCGGCGGGAGTTTCGCGGCCTGCGGCCGCGATGCCGGCCAGTTCTCCCGGTGGGGGCCTGAATGAAGACCGGCGCTCCTGGCTTTTGGCGCCGGACCGTCAGCGGTAACCGCGCGCCTCGAGCGCGGCGGCGAGCGCCGGCGAAAGCTGGGGCGCGGGCCCGGTCCGTTCGTTCTCCTGCTGCCAGGCGACGGTCTGGATCCTCCGGGTCTCCAGTTGCGCCTTGAAGGGTTCCATCGAGGAGCTCGCCTGCACGTACGCGTTCTCGGCTTCGTTCGGATCCCGCACCAGGTTGAAGAGCGCGAACAGGGGCGCCTGCTGGTCCGGAACCGATATCCGGAGCATCCGCAGCCGCCCGTTGAAGATGCCGAAGAGCCCGCCCTCGGACTGCGCGTAGAGCCGCCGATGGGGGCGCGGCTCGTCCCCCTGAAGCGCCCGAACGAGCGACTTGCCGATGGTGCCCAGCGGCAGCGTCTCGGGGAGCGGGACCCCGATCAGCTCGAACGCGGTTGGGCCGGCGTCGCCGATGCCTACCGCCGAACCGAAGCGGGTTTCCGCCGGGAACCGTGACCCGTCGCTGCCGGGCCAGCCGAGCAGCAACGGAACCTGGAGCGTCTCCCGGAACAGGGCCCGCGGTGTTTCAAAGGGGGGACCGTGTTCGCCGAGAGATTCGCCGTGGAGCCCGGCCACCACGACCAGCGCCTTCCCGGCGAGCGGACCGGACGTGAGGCTCGACAGCACCGCGCCGACGGCGCGGTCCACCGACCGGATGGACGCGTCGTAGCGATCCGCCATCTCCCCGTAGCCGGCTCCCCCGGTCACGGCGGCGGCCGGTTGCGGCCCGATTCGAAAACGCGGGCCGGCCGGGGTCATCTCATCGGTCCGCACCGCATCCAGATCCTCCGCCGGAGGGTCATGCGGCCGAGAGGGCGCGGAGAAATGAAGCCAGACAAAGACGGGAGACTCGCCGGTCGCGGCACGAAGCGCCTCGACCCCGAAGTCGCGGACGGCGTCGGCGCCTCCCGCGGCATCGCCCCCCCAGTGCTCCCGAAACTCGTCGAAACCGCGGGCGAAGCCGAGTTCCGCGGCAAGGGCCGGATGATTCACCGCGCCGAGGGTCCGGTAGCCGTGCGCCCGCAGCAGGGAGGCGAGCGTGCCTTCTTCGAGGAGCCGGGCCGGTTCGCCCCGGGTGCTCCGGCTCGGGTCCACCCCGGTGAGGAGCGCTGCCGCTCCGCGCCCGGTTTCGGGCCAGGGAGTCAGCGCCTCCAGGAACACCGCCCCGGCAGCGCCGAAGAGGTCGAGGTTCGGACTGATGTTCCGCGGATAGCCGTAGATTCCGAGGTGGTCCGCGCGAAGCGAGGAGACGGTGACCAGGACCAGGCTCGACCGTTCGCCGGGCGGCGGCGGCCCGGGATTCCCACAGGCGGCTCCCGCCAGCGCCGCCGCCAGCGCCGCAACTGCAATCCGGCCATTCCCGCGGAGCGACGACGGCCGGGTGGGGCGGGGCGGACGGCCGTTCATCGTCCGTCGCTCCCCGCCGCGATCTCGATCCGCCGGGTCCCGTTCCGCTCGCGAAGCAGGCGCACCCGAATCGCGTCGGTGCGGCAGTAGTGTGCGAGCCGCTCCGGCCACTCGACGATCACGATCGCGTCTTCCTCCTCCATTTCCTCGATGCCGAGCTCCCGGAGTTCCTCCGGGCGCTCGATCCGGTACAGGTCCAGGTGGTACAGCGGGCGGCTTCCCTCGCCGTAGCGCGCCACCAGGGCGAACGTCGGACTGGTGACCTGATTGGGATCCACTCCGTAGTGCCGCGCCAATCCCTTGGCGAAAACGGTCTTTCCGGCGCCCAGGTCCCCTTCGAGATAGAAGGCGCGGCAGTCGGGTTCGCGGGCGGCGAGGCGCGCCCCGGCCTCGAGGGTCTCCTCCGGGCTGCGGCTGGCCACCCGGTCGGCCCTCGGCGTCGCCGGCGCGGCGGTCACCGGGGAATCTCCGCTCGCAGACGGTGGATCGCCCTCCCGAGGTGGGCGGCCACGCCGGACGCCGTCACGGCGTCCTCCCCGCGGTGCTTCCGCGCTTCGCTGCCCGCGAGTCCGTGCAGGAACACGCCCGCCGAGAGTGCTTCCAGCGGACCCAGGCGTCGGGCGAGCAGCGCTCCCACCACTCCGGTCAGGACATCCCCGGATCCCCCGGCGGCCAGTTCGGGCCCCCCCGAGCGATTCACGAAGACGGCGCCCCAGGGATCGGCGATCAGCGTCCCGGGTCCCTTGAGGGCTACCGCTCCCTCCGTTTCCCGGGCCAGGCGGCGCGCCACCTGCAATCGGTCGTCCTGGACCTCGGCGTTCGTCAGGTTGAGCAGCCGCGCGGCTTCGCCAGGGTGCGGCGTCAGCGCCAGCTTCGATCTCCGGGCGAGGTGCGAGGCTCGTCCGGCCCAGGCGTTCAGCCCGTCGGCGTCGAGGACCAGCGGCGCCGAAGTCGTCAGGACGATTCTTCGCACCGCCTCCTTCGTTTCCTCGCGGCTGCCGAGCCCGGGACCGAGTGCGATCGCGTCAGCGGCGAAGGCGGAGACCTCCGGTACCCCGTCGAGGGAGATCTCCCCCGCCTCGGTGGAGGGCAGGGGCAGCCGCATCGCCTCCGGCGGCAGTTCCGTGAGGCCGTCGGGGGGACCCGCCACCGTCAGCAGCCCGACCCCCGCCGACAGCGCGCCCTGCGCCGCGAGCGCCGCGGCTCCGGGCATCCGCCGCGAACCCGCGATCAGCAGGAGCCGGCCGAGCTGTCCCTTGTGGACGCCGGGCTCGCGAGCCGGGAAGAACGGGGCGACGCGGCGGGCGTCGTTGGTTCGGACCCCGGTGGTGCCGGCATTGAGCCAGACCCGCGGAATTCCGATCTCCGCGACCCGGATCTCCCCGCAAGCGGCGCTCGCCGGAAAAACGAAGTGACAGATCTTCGGGGCGGCGAGCGCCACGGTGAGATCGGCGCGGAAAGCGAGGTCCGGGGCGCTGCCCGTATCCGCCGAGAGGCCGGTCGGAATATCGACGGCGACGCGGCGAGCGTCCCGGAATCGTCCGACGTGGTCGAGGTCGGCGATCACCCGGGCGGCAAGCCCCCGCAGCGTCCCGGAACCTCCCGTTCCGAGGATCGCGTCAACGATCACCCCCGGGCGGGGCCCGGCGAGCCCGTCCGGGCCGGCCTGGCGCAGCGCCGTCTCCCAGGCGGCTTCGTCGGGGACCGGAACGACGTGGAGCGCGAGTTGCATCGCGGTTTCGAAGTTTGCCTTGGTGGCCCCGGTGAGCCGCTCCGGATCGGTCAACAGGACGGCGGTGGCCCGCAGCCCGCGCGCCGCGAGCGCCCGCAGCGCCACGAGTCCGTCGCCCCCGTTGCCGCCCCGCCCGCACAGGATGAGAATTCGTCGCCCGCTACTTGCTGCCTCGGCAGCAACGATCTCTGCGACGGCCCGGCCGGCGTTCTCCATCAGGACGCGCGCCGGGACCCCCGCCTCGTCGATGGTGTGGCGATCCGCCTCGCGCATCTGCTGAGCGGTGAGCACGTCCATGCCCGGGATTGTAGGAAAGGGGAGCCTGCCCGTTCGCGATCCCGCTCTCGGTACCCTTATTCCGGTGACCCTGTACTTCCCGGAGACGCTCGTGCGCGAGGTCCTTCCCATGCGGGACGCGGTGCCTGCAATCGAGGATGTATTCCGGGAGCTCGGCACGGGCGGAGCCCAGAATCGGCCCCGGCAGCGGGTCCGGGTACCGGGCCGGATGCTCCACACGATGAGCGCCTCGAGCGCGGCGCTTGGCTATCTCGGGCTGAAGACCTATCTGACGGGCCGGGACGGTGCGCGCTTCGTGCTCCTGCTCTTCGACCAGGCCAGCGGGTCACTGGCGGCCGTGATGGAAGCCGACGCGCTCGGGCAGATCCGGACCGGCGCCGCCACCGGGGTCGCAGCGGACTACCTGGCCCATCCGGCGGCCGCGAGCGTGGGGATCGTGGGTTGTGGCTACCAGGCGGAGGCGCAGCTCGAGGCGCTCGCGGTGGTGCGGCCGCTCACCCGGGTCGCGGCGTTTTGCCGAAGCCCGGAGCGGCGGGAGCGGTTCGCCGCGGCGATGTCCGTCCGGCTTGGAGTCGAGGTGGTTCCGGCGCCGAGCGCCGAGGCGGCGGTGCGCGGCAAGCCCATCGTGGTGGCGGTCACGAGTGCTCGGGAGCCGGTCGTCCGCGGAGAATGGCTCGCCCCGGGGGCGTTCGTGGCGGCCGCCGGAGGGAATTCGCTGAAACGCCGCGAACTCGACCGTGGTGCGGTGCGGCATGCCCAGCGCGTGGTGGTGGACGACCGGGAGCAGGCGCGGATCGAGTGCGGGGATCTCGCGCCCCTCGTGGCCGCCGGCGAACTGTGCTGGGAGGAGTTGGAAACGCTTGGCGAGGTGGTGGCGGCCGGAAAACGGAGTGCCGGGGCAGGGTCTTCGCTGTTCGAATCTCAGGGAATCGCCGCTGAAGACATCGCGGTCGCGGCGCTTGTCTACGAGCGCGGGAGGACAGAGGCAGTCCCGTTCCCGAGCGGGTAGAATCGCGTCATGACTTCCTTCCTGTGGGTTCCGGTTCTGCTGGTCGGCCCCTTTGGCGCGACCGAACTCCTGATCATCCTGGGAATCGTCATCCTCATCTTCGGCGGTTCACGGCTGCCCCAGTTGGGGAAAGGCCTCGGCGCGGGCATCAAGAATTTTCGGAACTCCATGAAGAGCGTCACGAACCCGGACAACGGTTCGGATGACGCCGACGCGCCCAAGGACGACGACTGAGTTCGACGACTGAGTTCGACGACTGAGTTCGTTGCCGCGCTGGGCGGCGCCGCCCGGGGGCGCTTCCACGCCCCACCGTGCCTCGTTTGCCGATGAATCCCGGCTAAATAGTCACGCGCAGTCCGTCGTGGGCGCGCTCGAACGCCAAATCGGTGGCGCCCAGCACGTCTTCGCCGGTGTGCACCAGAAACACCCGGCGGGCCGTGATGCGGGGCGCGGCCGCCCGGAGTTCCCAGTGGGACGTGTGGCCGGGAAGGGTTTCGAGCGAGGTGCACTCGTGGATCAGGAGATCGGCCTCCGCGGATTCCGAGATCAGCCGATCGCTGAAACCGGTGTCTCCCGAGTAGACGATGGTCCGGCCCCCGACCTGGAGCTTCCACGAAAAAGCCCATGCTTCCGGTTGATGGCGGGCGGCGAAGGCTCGCGCCGAACCGCCTCCCACGCTCTCCGGCAAACCGGCCACCTCGCCGGGCAGCGTTTCCGTGATCGCTTCGGCAAACCGGATGGGGAGCTTGGGGTAGAGGCATTCCCGGAGCGCTTCGATGCGTTCCCGCGCCCCCGGCGGGGCCAGGACCAGGAGCGGAACCGTGCGGCCGCTGCGCATCGCGTCGAGTTCGAGGAAGGGAAATCCCCCGTAGTGATCTCCGTGGAAGTGGCTGAGGACCACCGCCCCGAGATCGTCGCTTGACAGGCCTTCCGCGCGGAGGGCGGCGTGGCAGCCCGGCCCCGCGTCGAGCAGCACCCCGAGCGGGCTGCCGATCGCGCGCAGGAAAATCGCGGCCTGTCGCTTCCCCCCGGATCCGAAGGCGTCGCCGGTGCCGAGAAACCGCGCCTCGACGCCTGTCCCTTCGCCGCGCTGATCGCCCGTCGGGGAAGTCGGGGAAGTCGGGGAAGTCGGGGAAGTCGGGGAAGTCCGGGAAATCCGGGACGCAGCCGCCTGGCAGTCCGCGCAGATGAACGGGCGTCGGCCCTCCCCCTCCGCCGCGGGATCGAGCGCCCGGTCACAGCGCCGGCAACACTCCAGCCGGGGGGCCGGGAGCGCGCCCGCGTGCCGTTCGAGCATCTCGGCGACGAACGCCACGATGCGTTCCCGGTCGCCGGCGGCGAAGAGCCGGGAGTCTTCGAGCGGATCCTCGTCCGGCCGCGGCCGGACGGTGAGCCGGACCTCGACGGTGCGTCCGGTCGCGTCCTCCTCGTCGGGGTCGGCAAGGATGCGGATTTCGAACAACGCCGGGGCCGGTCAGGGGCGCTAGCCGGCGCTGGCGGCCGGCAGAAAGGCCAGATCGCGGCCTGGATCGAACGGCGCCGCGAGTCCCGCCGGTCGGTAACCGCGGAGGTCGACCGCCACCCGGCGATACCCGAGTCGCTGGAGGCGGCCCGCCAGCCGGTCGCCGACCTCCGGGCTGAGCGCGCGGGCGATCTGGGCGGCGGGCAGCTCGATACGGGCCAGGTCCCCGTGGTGCCGGACCCGGAAAGCGGAGAACCCGAGTTCGCGGAGCGCTTCCTCGCCGGCCTCGACCTGTCCCAGGATCCCGGCGCTGATTTGAATGCGCTGAGGCACCCGGGAGGCGAGGCAGGCGGAGGCCGGTTCGTCCGCTACCGGCAGCCCGAGCGACCGGGCCAGCGCGCGGACGGTTTCCTTGGAGATCCCGGCCTCGAGCCACGGCGAGCGGACCCCCAGCAGCGTCGCCGCGCGCCGCCCGGGCCGGACGTCACCGGCGTCGTCGGCGTTCGTGCCGTCGAGGACCGCGGCGAAGCCGCGCTCGTCGGCGAGCTGCCGAAGCCGGCGGTAGAGCTCGTTCTTGCAGTGAAAGCAGCGGTCCGGCCCGTTTTGCCGGTACTCCTCCGACGCCATTTCGTCGGTTGCCAGCCATTCGTGCGGCATGGGATGGGCTCCGAGGACCCTCTCCACGAGCGACTGCTGGTGTCCGGAAAGGCTGGCGCTGACCCCGGTGACCGCCAGGCTGCGCTCTTTGAGCGCAAGGTGGGAGAAAACGGCCAGCGTTGCGCTGTCCACCCCGCCGCTCAGCGCGACCACCGCGGAACCGCACTCTTCAAGGATCGCTTTAAGAGCGTTCCGGTTGGTGATCAGGTCGCCCGTTTCGTCCGCGCGTCGGAGCGCGGTCCCGCTTCGGTCTTCAGGCATCCTCCGCTCCTCAGACATCCTCCGCTCTCCAGGGGCCGCTCGCGCCGCCGCTTTTTTCGAGGAGGCGGACCGGGCCGATCACCATGCCCCGATCCGCGGCCTTCAGCATGTCGTAGACGGTGAGCGCGGCAACCGAGGCGGCGGTCAATGCCTCCATCTCGGCGCCCGTGGAGGCCCGGCAGCGGATCCGGGCGACGATCCGGATCCCCGTCTCCTCGAAGGCGGCACACACCTCGGCGTGATCGAGGGGCAGGGGATGGCAGAGCGGGATCAGGGTCGCGCACGCTTTCGCGGCCTGGATGCCGGCGAGGCGGGCAGTGTCCAGCACGCTGCCCTTGGGAGCGTTTCCTTGCCGCGCCAGCTCCAGCGCCGGCCGCGAGACCGTCACGAAGGCCTCCGCGGCGGCGGCTCGCTCGGTGACGGGTTTGGCCCCCACGTCCACCATCCGGGCGCTTCCCCCCGAATCCAGGTGGCTGAGGGTCGGCCGCCGCCGGCCTCGGGCGATCAGGGCGATCAGGCCTGGCGGAACTCATCGGCGGGGATCATGCCACCCGGGTCCGGCGTCAGGAAAGCCCGGAAGCGGGTGCGCCGCGACGCTCTCCCCGGCCGGAATGGTCCCGGCGTTCTCGGGCACGATCACGAAGGCGTTGGCAAGCGCTACCGCCGCGATGTCGCCCGAACCCTGGGAACGGATCGGCTGGGCCGTCAGCTCGCCGTTTTCGGAGATTCCCACCCGGGCCGGGAGGAAGGCTCGGCGCGGTCCGTGCTGGGTTACGGGAGCGAGCAGGCGGACGGAGGGCCGCGGTGAGCGCGGGTCGGGGATCCCTTCCATCTTTTCGAGCGCCGGACGCGCCAGGACTTCGAAGGTGGTGAGCGCCGAGACCGGGTTTCCCGGAAGCCCGAACACCAGAATTGGCCGGGATTCCCCGGTGATTCCAAAGACAAAGGGCTTGCCGGGGCGGATCGCGACGGCGGTGACGAGGAGCCGGACCCCGGCCGCCTCGAGCACCGGTTCGACGTAGTCGTAGCGCCCCATGGACACCCCGCCGGAGATGAAGAGCACATCGGATTGGAGTCCCGAAGCGATCGTCTCGGCGAGCTTTTGCGGATCATCCGGTGCAAAACCGAGCCGCCGGGTCGGAAGCCCCAGGCCGCGGCAACGCGCGGCGATCATGTGACTGTTGGCGTCGCGGATTTGCGCCGGGCGCGGGGTGGCGGTGCGCGGATGCCGTAGCTCGTCCCCGGTGGAGAAGACCGCGACGCGCGGCCGCCGGCCGACCGCGACCTCCACCTTGCCGACGGTAGCGAGCAGGCCGAGCGCGGCCGCCGACACGCGGCCTCCGGCTTCGAGCAGTTTGGTTCCGGCCCGCACTTCGGCGCCCCGGGCGGTAATGCGGTCTCCGGCCCTGACCGGGGAGGGTTTCGGTCCGGGGGAGGGTTTCGGTCCGGGGGAGGGTTTCGGACTGGGGGAGGGTTTCGGTCCGGCGCCGGCCAGCGAACGAAATCTCCGTCGGGGACGGTGTCCTCCACCATGATCGCGGCGTCCGCACCCTCCGGAATCGGGGCTCCGGTCATGACGGCCGCCGCTTCCCCGGGGCCCACCGGGATCCGCGGCATGGTGCCCGCGGGGATCTGATCCACGACCCGCAGTCGGCCGCCGCCGGCAAGGCAGGCGGCCCGGACGGCGTAACCGTCCACCGCTGACCGGTCGAAGGGAGGCAGATCGCGATCCGCGAACACCGCTTCCCGCAGCACCCGCCCGCGAGCCGCTGCGAGCCCCACCATCTCGGCGGGCAACTGCGGCGTCCGCTCCAGGATTCGGCGGAGCGTTTCCTCGACGGAAATCAAGGCGACCTCTCCGCGGATCGCCGAATCCGCTCCGACAGGGGGATCCGACAGTCCGACAGGGGGGTCCGACAGGGGGGCGGACTCTTCAGGCGTCCGGGCCGAAGCTGGCGATGGCCTCGTCTTCGGTTTCGAACACCTCGAAGAGCGGGAGCACCCGCGCAATGTTCATCACGTGCACGACCCTTTCCTGCGGGTGAAGGGCCTTGAGGGCCCCTCCGGCCCGCGCGACGCGGCGGGCGGAGGCTACGAGTTCGCCGAGGCCGGCGCTGTCGATTGCGCTCACCCCGCTGAGGTCCACGACGATGCGCACCCGGCCGGAATCAAGGAGAACGTCCACCGCCTCGCGAAGTTCCTGGTCCCCATGACCGTCCACCAGGCGGCCGCCCAGTTGGAGCAGCGACACGCCGGATCGTTCCTTGAGGTCAAGTTGCATGGCCGGCCCCCTTCACCCGATCAGGGCATTGAGCGCCTGCCGATCAATGCGGATGTTGTAGCGCTCGGCGGCGCCACTGACGAAAGCCGCCCAGACGCGCTGCTTTTTTTCTTCCATCATCTGCGCCCGGAAGGGCTCCTTCTGTTCCTCGAAGGTGGTTTCGGCAAACCCCTCCTTTCCGTTGATCCGGACGATGGCATAGCCCTGCTCCGCTTCGAGGGGGCCAACGACATCTCCGATTTCCGCACCGAAGACCGTCTCTTCAGCGCCGGGAAGCGCGCCGGCGGCGCCGAGCATGCTGCCCCGGAACCAGCGCTCCAGGGGAGTCGGATCGGTATCGACGGTCTGCCCGCCGGCGACCCGGTCACGAAGGGTCTGCCCCGCTTCCCTCGCGAGCGAGTGCGCCCCCTCTTCCTCGAGTTCCGCGATCGCCTGCTCACGGATCTCCTCGAACTCGGGGACGTGCGGCGGTCGTTCCTCGAGCACCTCCAGGAATGCGTAACCGGTCGCGAGCCGCACCGGGCCGCCCACCGCGCCGATCTCAAGGTCGAACGCCAGCGCGGAAAGTTCCAGCGAACCGAATCCGGCGACGGAGTCGCCAGCTGAGAAGAAATCCGACTCCTGGGGAATCAGCAGCGGGTAGTCGCCCACCAGGTCGCTCAGCGAGTCGGCGCCTCCGACCCGCTCTCCAAGTTCGAGAACCCGTTCGGTAAGAAGAGCGACGGCCTTTTCCTGCCGCAGCCGGCTCTCGATCTCCCCCTCGACCTCGCTCAGTTCGCGGGTTTCGGCGGCCTGGCGGCTGTCGAGCCGCACTACGTGGTAACCGTAATCGGTGCGAACGGGGTCGCTGATCTCGCCGGGCATCATGCTGAAGACGGCTTCGGAGAACTCGGGGACCATTTCTGCCGGCCCGAAGATTCCGAGCGCTCCCCCAGCCTCCCGCGTCCCCTCGTCCGCGGAGTAGGTCCGGGCGAGTTCCGCGAAGTCTTCGCCGGCGCGCGCGCGTTCGGCGAGGCGGGCCGCGAGGGTGCGGGTCGCGCCCTCGTCGGCCTCCGATTCGGCCTGCAGGAGGATGTGGCTGGCTTCCGCCTGTTCCCCCTCCTGGTACTGGAAGAGGTTGCGGTTGTAGTAGCGCTGAATTTCGCGCCGCCTTACGGAGACTTCCTCGGCGAGGGTCTGCTCGGAGACCGTGAGGTAACGGATTCGCCGTTGCTCCGGGACCTCGAACGCCTCGGGGGCAGCCTCATAGCGCGCCCGCGCGGACGCCTCCGTGACCTCGACCTCTCCGCGCCGGCTGTCGGTGCTCAGGAACCAGAGATCCAGCGACGCGTTCTCGTTGCGGCGCCGATACTCCTCCCGGACTTCGAGATCGGAGACGTGGGGGGATTCGGTAATCAGCAGTTGCAGCTTCTCGGTCAGCAGGTCCGACCGGACGGAATCCTCGAAGTCTCTGGGGTTCAGCCGGGATGCCCGCAGCATGCTGAGGTAGGCATCGCGCCCGATGAACGCCCCGCTCTCCTGAAAGGTGGGGGAGGTCGCGATGCTGGTTCCCACTTCGGCGTTCGTGACCTGGAGCCCGAGCCGTTCGGCTTCGAGCACGAGCACCCGGCTGCGCACCAGCTCTCCCACGACCTGGTCGGGGATGCCGAGCTGGCGGGCCAGCGCGGGGGAGAAGTCCCCGCCACTTTGTTCCTGGTACAGGCGGGCGACGTTTCGGTACCGATCGAGAAAGGCCGAGGCCGCGATCGGTTTTCCGTCCACCCAGGCGACGCCCCGGCGCATCGCTGCCGTCGCGGGGTCGCCCATGAAGTCCGGGAAATACAGAGCGACGAACGCCAGAATGACGAGGGCGAGCAGCCCGGCGCCGAAGAACCAGCCGACGGAACGACGGTTGCGAAAGTACTCGAGAATCATGGCAACCGGCCATGGTACCGCCAGGCACCGCCGAGCGGCAAACCGGCATGCGCGAGCGCTGGATTTGACTCTGTCGCGCCAGCCGCTCGGCTGGTAATCTTTACCATGGCGGCGCCCCCGCCGTATTCCCCGTCTTGGGCCGTTCGGTCTCCCGCAATCTGCCCCGCTCTCCCGCTTTGCTTGATGCTCAAATACTTACTCAGTCTCTTCTCCGTTGATCTGGCGGTAGACCTCGGGACCGCCAACACCCTGATCTACACCCAGGAGTCGGGAATCATTCTGCGCGAGCCTTCGGTGGTGGCGATGAACACGGTCACGAAACGGGTGGAAGCGGTCGGGGCCGAGGCGTACGACATGGTCGGCAAGACCCCCGGCCACATCAAGGCCATCCGCCCCATGCAGGACGGGGTGATCGCCGATTTCGAGGCTGCCGAGCGGATGATCAGCCACTTCGTGCAAAAGGCGCTGGGCCGGCGCCGGTGGGCCGCCCCCCGCATGGTGGTCGGCGTGCCTCTCCGAATCACGCCGGTGGAACGGCGGGCGGTGCGGGACAGCGTGCTCCGGGCGAGGGCCAGCGAGGTATTCCTCGTGCAGCAGCCGATCGCCGCCGCCATCGGCGCCGGACTGGACGTCACGACCCCCATCGGGTGTTGCGTCGTGGACATCGGCGGCGGAACGACCGACATCGCGGTGATTTCCCTTTCGGGGATCGCTGCCGGCACTTCGGTGCGTGCCGCCGGCGACATGTTCACCCAGGGAATCATCGAACACCTGCGCCGGTCCCATGGCCTGCTCGTGGGAGAGCGGACGGGAGAGCGAATCAAGATGGCGCTCGGCAGCGCCCGACCGGGCACGCAGGCGCGCAGCATGGAGATCCGCGGGCGGGATCTTTCCCGGCTTTCCCCGGCCACGCTGACGGTGACCGACCAGGACATCCGGGCGGGTTTGAGCGGCCCGCTGCAGCAGCTCCTTACCGCGGTGGCGAACGTGCTCGAGAAAGTCGAACCCGAACTCTCGGCCGACCTGGTGGAGAACGGAATCCTCCTGACGGGTGGGGGTGCGCTGCTCGAGGGACTTCCCGAGCTGCTCGCCGATGAGACGAACCTGGCGGTCAAGGTGGCCGAACACCCGCTCGATTGCGTCGTGAACGGCGCCGGGGTCATGCTGGAGCGCATGGACCTGCTCCAGCAGGTTTCGAGGCATGACGGGTAGGACGCCCGGATCCCCGCCCGGATCGATGCTCGGATCCCCGCCCGGATCGATGCTCGGATCCCCGCCCGGATTGATGCTCGGATCCCTGCCCGGATCGATCCACGGATCCCTGCCCGGATCCCTGCCCGGATCCCTGCCGGATCCCTGCACGGATCCATGCCCGGATCCCCGCCCGGATCGATTCACGGATCCATGCACGCAGGAAAGCAGCCGTAGGAGCGGGGAAGTCAGCCGGTGTCCGGGAAACGCGGCCATGGAGTCATCCTGGGGATCGTGTTGGCCGCGAACTTCCTCGGACTGACCTTCCAGGTGCGCACGGGGACCAACTTTCCGGTTCGGGATGGGCTCGCCGCAGTATTCGGAGGCGGCCAAAGCCTGGTGGTGAGTTCCACCAAAGCGGTTTCGTCGTGGGCGGCGACGGTTCGCGACGCCCACGGGATGCAGATCGCTCGCGACGAGTTGGAGGAAAGGGTGGCCCGGCTGGAATGGGAACTGACGGTCCAGCGGGGGATGCTCGAACGCGCCCGAGGGTTCACGAGCCTCGATGCCGAAGCGATGGGGCTGGGCGAGCCCGTTTCGGGAGAAATCGTCGGGGTCAGCGCATCTCCGCTCGATCGGACCGTCACCGTGAACCGGGGAAGTCGAGATGGAATCGGGCGCGACGCGCCGGTGATGGCGGCTAGCGGGCTCGTCGGGCGGGTAGTGGCGGTAGGGCCGGGGATCAGCCAGGTCGAGCTGCTGTCGTCCTCCACCGCCGCCGTCGCGGTGATCACTTCGTCCAGCCGGACTCGCGGGGTCGTTCGGGCCGCTGCCGGCGACGAGGGGACGAACGGCTACCGGCTTGACTTTGTCCCGGTGGGGCAGCAGGTCGGGGTGGGGGAAGAGGTGATCTCGAGCGGGCTCGACGGTTTGTATCCGAAGGGACTTCTGGTCGGTAGGGTGTCCCGGGTCCACGAGGGAGCCGGACTGCTGCTCGAGATCGCGATCGAGCCGGCCGTGGACTTCGACACTCTTGAACGGGTCTTCGTCCTGGAGCGGCGGAACGACGGGAGCCTCGCGCCGGAACCCGCGGGCGGAACGCCGGCGCGGGGGCCATGAGCTATCTGCGAGCCGCTGGCGCGGTCGTCGTGGCTTTCCTGATCCAGACAGCGGTCCTGCCGCTGGTAGTCCCCCAAGGAGTGACGCCGGACTTCCTGCTCGCGACCGCCGCTGCCGTAGCGCTGCTTGCCGGGCCGGGCCCGGCGATCGGAGTCGGTTTGGTCTCGGGGCTCTTGCAGGACTCCTTTTCGGGAGGTCTGCTGGGGATGAACGGCTTTTCCAAGCCGCTCGTCGTTTTTGCGGTGGCGCGCGCCCGCGAGCGCCCGCCGCTGGACGGGTCTCTCGGAGTGCCGGTGCTGCTCCTGTTCGCCGCGGCCGCCGATCTGCTGATTTTGTGGGCACTCGGTGAAGTGGCCGGATTCACCGTGATTCCCCGCCAGGAGCTGGGCGCGGCGGGATTCGGGATCCCGCTCACCGTAATCTACGGGGCTCTCGTTCTCCGTTTCCTCCGGCCGAAGTCGACGGGCTACGGAGTGCCATGAGGAACTTCCCCCGGCGGAGCCGAAACCTTTCGTGATCCAGGCCGAGTACTTCTCCCGCATCCGCAGGCGACTGGCCATCGCGCGGTATCCGCTGTGGTTTTTCGTCATTTTGCTGACTGTCCGCTTCTGGCAGCTCCAGATCGTCCGGGGTGAGGAATTCAGCGACCTGGCGCGGAACAACTACCTCCAGACCGAGCGCCGGCGCGCCCCCCGGGGGCTGGTAGTGGATCGGCACGGCGCGGTCCTGGCCCGAAGCGAGCCGTCGTTCACTCTGCTCGCCGACGAATCGGGGCTCGGCCAGTTGGAAGAGATCGGACTCCTGTTGGTTGATGAGGAGGACCGCGCCGATCTCGAAGCGCGGGCGGCACGCGGCCCGGCGGTAGTCCGCTCCGGGATCCCCTTCTCCGAAGCCGCTTTCTTCGAAGCCCGCCGGCGTGAGCTGCCGGGCGTCCGCGTGGAGTTCGTGCCGGCGCGGGACTACCCCCTCGGCGAGGCTACGGCGCATCTCCTCGGCTACGTGGGGGAGGTCACTGCGGCCCAACTCCTCCTTGAGGAGTTTGTGACCGCGGCTTCCGGTGATCTCGTGGGCCAGGACGGGATCGAACGGGTCTACAACGGGATCCTGGTCGGTTCCGACGGGTATCTGGATCGGGTGGTCGACAGCCGTCAGCGCGTGTTGGTATCCGGCGGGCTGAGGAGAACCGAGCCCGTCCGGGGCGATACGCTGCAGATCAGCGCGATCGGGGCGATTCAGGAGGCGGCCCACCGTGCTTTCGCCGACCAACGGGGAGCGTTTGTGGCGCTGGATGTCAGAACGGGGGAAGTCCTGGGCCTCGGCAGCTATCCGGCTGAGAGTTCCGAAGAGTTCCGCAGCGATGTAGGGAAGTTCCGCGAAATGCTCGCCGACAGCGCGACTCCGCTCCTGAACCGGGCGGTCCAGGGCACATATCCCCCCGGGTCGTCCTTCAAGCTGGTCACCGCCATCGCGGCGCTTGCGGAGGGCGTGGTGGGCCCGGAAACCCGGTATCGGTGTAACGGACGTGCCCGCATTGCGGGTCGCACCTTCCGGTGTCACCGCGCGCAGGGGCATGGCGCGCTGACGCTTCGCGAGGCGATCTCCAAGTCATGCAACGTGTTCTTCTATCGGTTGACGGAAGCACTCGATGTGGATGTGATCGCATCCTACGCTCGCGCTCTCGGTCTCGGGGAGCCCACCGGGGTGGACCTCAGGAATGAGTCGAGCGGACTCGTTCCGACCCGCGAATGGAAGCGCCGCGTTACGGGGGAGCGCTGGTACGCCAGTGAGACAGCGTCGGTCGCCGTAGGTCAGGGGGCGGTTTCGGTGACCCCGATCCAGATGGCGCGGCTGGCGGCGGCGTTCGCCTCGTTCGGAAGGGTTCCGATCCCGAGGCTGGTGGGGAGCGCACCCGCCGGCCAGATGGACGGAGTGATGCGGGAGCACTTCGAGCTGATTCGCGACGGAATGCGCGACGCCGTGGTGTCGGGGACGGCTTGGCGGGCTCGAATCCCCAGTGCTCCGGTGGCCGGAAAAACCGGGACCGCCCAGGTGGCGAGTGCGAACGTGGTGGCGGCCAACAACGAGGATCGCCCGTACGAGTTGCGCACCCACGCGTGGTTTGTCGGGTTCGCACCGTTCGATGACCCGCAGATTGCGGTGGCGGTAGTCGTGGAGCACGGCGGAGCCGGCGGGGCCGCGGCGGCCCCTATCGGGGGTGAAATCCTGCGGACTTTCTTTGATGACTCCCCCGAGGTGCGGGTAGTCGGCGGCCCCGGAGGGGACCAGTGAGTCTTGCGAGGAGGCGCGGCCGGCTCCCGCTGCCGGGGAGCATGGCGCGGCGCTCCGGATCCGGCAGGTACGGGTCGTCCAGGCATGGGTCCGGGAAATACCGGCCCGGGAAGTGGCGACGATGGATCTGAGATCCCGCGAGGGTGCGGACCGCGTGCTGCTCGTCTGTGTGGGGCTCTTGGTCCTGATTGCAGTGCTGGTCCTTGAGAGCGCGCTGCGGGGCGCCGGGTCTGGAGCGAGCCTTGGGGCGCACCTCATCCGGCTGGGAATCGCCCTGGGTGTCGGGGTGGCTGCGTACCACATGGATCATCGCCGGCTGGCCCGACTGTCGCCGGGGTTATTCCTTCTGGCCCTGGCTCTCAGCGCCATCGCGACCACCTCCGGGGCTCTGCGTGCGGGGACCCGCCGATGGCTCGAAATCGGAACGCTGACCGTCCAACCCGGTGAGCTCGCCAAGATCTCGCTGGTGCTCCTGTTCGCCCATCTGGTGGCCCGGTCGGGACATGAGCCACTCAGCCGGCGGGCGACCGTCGGCTGGGTCGCGGCGTCCGGCGCCCTCGTGCTGGCGGTAGCGGCGCAGCCCGACCTGGGCAGCGCGGCGATCCTCGTTGGAATCGGGGTCGGGATGGGCTTCTTCAGCGGCCTGTCGATCTCGCGCAGGTGGATGCTGGCCGGCAGTGGATTCGCCGCCCTGGCGTTGCCGCTGCTCTGGGCCTTCGGCCTGCGCGACTACCAGCGGCTACGCGTTCTCTCTTTCCTGAATCCGGAGAGCGACCCGTTGGGGGCGGGGTATCAGACCCTGCAGGCATCCATTGCGGTCGGCTCCGGAGGCCTCTTCGGTACCGGCTGGTTGCAGGGTCCGCAGACCGGCCTCCAGTTTCTCCCCGCCCCCATACCGACTTCGTGTTCGCAGTGCTCGCGGAGGAATTCGGGTTCCTGGGGGTGGTCGTCGTCCTCGCGCTGTACCTGATCCTCGGGCTGCGTCTGCTGCAGATTGCCGTGGAAGCGGCGGAGAACAAGGACCCTGCCGGGGCGCTCCTCGTGGGCGGTTTCTTTCTGATGTTGCACCTCCAGGCGTTTTACAACATCGCGATGGTCGCGGGGATCGTTCCCATCAAGGGGTTCCCATTGCCGTTCATGAGCTACGGAGGCAACTCCTTGCTGATTGCGGCGGCGGCCATCGGGCTGGCTGCCTCCGTCAGGCGCCGGAACTTCCTGACTTAGCAACCTGTGGCGAAACCCAGGCGGCGTTCGCCCGGCGATCCATCCCGGCTGAACCGCGTCGCTGCGCGCCGCTCATCGTTGCGTTTCGGTCGAAATACACCCGGTATTCCTCCCTCACGCGCCTTGTCAGCCGGGCGCCTCGCCCCCACCGGGAGACTGGCCAGCCTCGGCGCTCACCCGGGTTCCACCACCGGCTGCTAGCAAGTGTCCGGCGCCTTCCGGACCGGTCCGATCCTTCCCGTGCTACGGTTTCGGCGAACCTCTTCTCACGCTTATTTGATCTTCCTGTGTATCGAGAACTGATCGTCACCAGTCTTCCGGGGGAGACCCGAATGGCGCTCCTCGAGGATGGGGTGGTGGTGGAACTCGGTGTCGAGCACCGTTCCGAGCAGAGCGTCCTGCACGGGATTTACCGCGGCCGGGTACAGCGCGTCGTGCCGAGTACCCAGGCATCCTTCCTGGACATTGGGCTGCACCGCAACGCCTTCTTGCAGGTGGACCAGATTTCCCAAGGTGCGCTCGACGCCTGGCGGGATGAGGGGCGGGTGCCGGATGCCGGAAAGGGTGGGGGAGGGAGCGGAGCCGATGCCGGGAGTTCCGGTCTTCGTCTCGAGAACCTGCTGCGGCCCGGGCAGTCCGTGTTGGTACAGGTGGTCCGGGAACCCTTGGGGCCGAAGGGCTACAAGGTCAGTTGCGATCTCAATCTCCAGGGGCGTTTCTTCGATTTTCGGCCCCTCGCCCCCACGAATGTAATCACCTCACGGGCGACGGCGGGACCCCGCGAACAGCTTCGTATCGCAGCGCTGGTCGAACGCCTGACCACCCTGAAAGGGGAATGGGTAGCGCGCCCTACCGCGGAACAGCGCGACGAAGAGACCCTCGCTGCCGACATAACGCGGCTGGAGGCCGACTGGGTACAGATCCGGAAGGAGAGTCTCTCCGGTCCACCGGCCTGCCTCCGGGCCGAGGTCCCGATGGTGTTCCGGTATATCCGGGATGTGCTCTCCTCGGGTTTCAGCGTGATCCGGGTCGACAACGAAACGCTGTACGGACGGATGGTGAACTTCATCCGCCAATTCCTCCCGGGGATGGAGCACAACGTTCGGCTCTACTCGCGGAACTATCCGATCTTCGAGGAGTATGGAGTCGAGGCCGCCTTCGAGCAGGCCGCCCGCCGGCGGGTTCGCCTGCCCTCGGGGGGCTCGATCGTCATCGATCAGACGGAAGCGCTGGTAGCCGTGGACGTCAATACCGGAAGCTTCAGCGGAGACACCGCGGAGCGCGACGAAACGAACACGATCACGAATCTCGAAGCCGCGCTGGAGACCGCGCGACAGCTCCGGTTGCGCGGACTCGGTGGAATCATCGTGATCGATTTCATCGATATGAAGGACGGGCGGAATCGGGATCGCGTCTTCCGCAGCCTGCAAGGCGAGTTGCGCCGCGACCCCGCTTTCACCCGCGTGGCTCCACCGGAATCGCGCGCCGGGCTCGTCATCATCACCCGGAAGCGCGAGCGCCCCTCGCTTGAGTCCGCGCTGCTGGCCGCCTGTCCGGCCTGCAAGGGATCCGGCCGGGTCCGGTCGCTCGGCGCGGTCTGCCAGGACGTGCTGGTCCGCGCACAAAAGAAGTCGGCGGAGTTCGCTTCCGGACTCCTGGTCCGCGCCGCTCCGTTGGTGGCTTCGGCGCTTCGCCGGTCCGCGGTCCTCGCGGAGATTCGGACGGTGGTGGCCGGCCGGGTGGCGATCGAAGATGCACCGGCGCTGCCGGAGCCGCAGTTCGAGCTTCTTCCGGAAACCGTCGGGGGTGCATCCGATGCCGAGGCCGGTGCCGCTCACGAGTTACTGGCTGACCCGGCAGTTCCGGAGCCGAGCCTGGAGTCGGCGTGAGCCCCGAAGAGCGGCAGATAACGGTTCGACTCGACGTCGAAACCCGAATCGAGTGGGTTGAGGTGGTACTCGGCGTCTTTGAACGCCACTGCGCCCAGTGCGGCTACGAGGCGGATGCCACGCACTGGATGGGGGCGGCGGTTCGGGAAGCGGTCACGAACGGAATGCGGCACGGGAACCGGATGGATCCGCAAAAGCGCCTCACGGTTCAGATCGAGACCCGCGACGGCAAAGGCGGCGGCCCCGCGGTCGAAATAGCGGTGGAGGACGAGGGCGAGGGCTTCGACACGGCGGAAGTCCCGGATCCGCTCCGTGAAGACAACCTGCTCAAGGACAGTGGACGCGGCATCTTCTTTATGCGCCAGTTCATGGACGGCGTAACCTGGACGCGCACCGACCGTGGCGGTACCCGGGTGGTGCTCGTCCAGCGACACGTGCCCAAAGCGTCGTGAAGAGCGCGGCCGGGCGGGCCTGCGTCGAAGCGGCCGAAGTCGGGGCCGAGGTAATCCGTCAGGCGCATCGGGAGCGGCCGGAGCGCGGTTTTGAGGTGAACCTCAAGGGGCCGATCGACCTCGTCACTGCCGTCGACCAAGCGGCGGAAACCGCGATTGTCGAATGCCTGCAGCGCCTTCACCCGTCGGTGCCGATCCTGGCCGAGGAGAGCGGCGCGATCGGGGGGACCAAGACCGGTTGTCGTTTCATCGTGGATCCGCTCGACGGAACGACCAACTTCGCCCACGGATTTCCGGTCTTCGCCGTTTCCATCGCCTACGAGGAAGGAACCGAAGTCGTCGCCGGCGCGGTTCTCGACCCGGTCCGGGAAGAACTGTTCACCGCGGAGGCGAAAGCGGGGGCGTACCTGAACGGCGACCCCATTCGGGTCTCCGTGACGAGCGACATGCAAAGCGCGCTGCTCGCGACCGGCTTCCCGTATTCCCGGGAGGCAATGGATCGGGCGCTGGAGCTGTTTGTCCGGATCATGCGGCGCGCTCGCGCGGTACGCCGAGCCGGCTCGGCCGCGCTGGACCTTTGTTCGGTCGCCGCGGGGCGGCTTGATGCGTTCTGGGAGGAGACGCTCCGGGCGTGGGACACTGCCGCCGGTGAAGTCATTGTCCGGGAAGCGGGCGGTCAGGTCACGGACTTTGACGGTAACCCCTTCAGAAACGGCGGCCCGCATCTCGCCGTTTCGAATGGTCGGCTGCACCCGGCCCTGCTTGAGATCCTGCGCGAGGCGCGGGAAGATCGAGCGGTCCGGGAGGGGGGGCACATCGTTGGATAGGTTCGGATGGTCGGGTCTGAGGGAATAGAGCCCCCCCTCCCGAACCGCCCGGCGCTTCGCGCCGGAATCGAAACTCCCTTGCGCGCCTGCGGCGCGCTTCGGCGAGTTCCGATTGGTCGTTACTGTTTTGTGAAAGGGGAGAATCCCCCCTTTCACACATTCCCCCGAAAACGTGGGCAGCGAACGGAGTTCGCTGCCATTAGGTTTTTTCGCGCATGGCTAACCGCCGCCCACACAAGGTGGCGCGTAGGCAAGGCAACCCCTCCTACCGGCACGGCGACGCGCAGGCAAGGGAACGCCGACCTCCGGCCAGTTCTCCCGGTGGGGGCCGGCACCAGGGTCGAGCGGTCCGGGAGGGGGGCACATCGTTGGATAAGTTCGGATTGTCGGGTCTGAGGGAATAGAGCCCCCCTTCCCGAACCGCCCGGCGCTTCGCGCCGGAATCGAAACTCCCTCGCGCGCTGGCGCGCACTTCGGCGAGTTCCGATTCAAGATTGCCTTTTTGTGAAAGGGGGAGTGCCCCCTTTCACACATTCCCCCCGGACACGCAGGCGGCGAACCTCCGGTTCGCCGCCATTTCTTTGGCGCGGTCAACTACGCGCCGCCTGCGAGGCGCGTACTGCCGAACCGCGTGGAACGCGCGCGACAGCGGAAACCGCACCCCGCCGCCCGAGAAGAAACGGGGGGACGGCTTGGAACGCCGACCTCTGGCCAGTTCTCCCGGTGGGGGCCGGCACCGCGGCCCGCAGGGCCGCGGCGGCGCAGGCCCCAATCAGCGGGATGGTTCCCGTCTCGGCGCGCACCCTTGAGGGCAGGATCGCGCGACGGAGCGCCGGTCTCTGACCGGCATCGCGCGGGAGCGCGAAAACTGCGGCGATGGCGTGGAGCCCGGTCAACGTGCCCGGTCAACGTGCCCGGTCAACCTGAGTGCCGTCAGACGGCCCGCACGGCGGCGCTAGCAGCCTGTAGTGAAACCCAGGCGGCCCAGTTCTCCCGGTGGGGGCTCGGCCGGCGATCCATCCCGGCCAAACAGCCGGTGATGAAACCCACGCGGCCCAGTTCTCCCGGTGGGGGCTCGGCCGGCGATCCATCCCGGCTGAATCGCGTCGCTTCGCGCCGCTCATCGTTGCGTTTCGGTCGAAATACACCCGGGGCCAGTTCTCCCGGTGGGGGCTCCTCCCTCACGCGCCTTGTCAGCCGGGCCCCCACCGGGAGGACTGGCCCCACCGGGAGAACTGGGCCTCGCCGACCTCGGCGCTCACCCGGGTTCCACCACCGGCTGCTAGAACCGGATCCGGAGTCCGAGGAGCCCGCCCGTTCGTCCGATGGTCAGATCGCCGAAGCCGTCGAAGCCGTCCTCGTGTTCACCCTTGCCCCGGGCATAGCGAAACTCACCGAAGAGGTCGATTCGCCGCCCGTACGGCAACCGGACGAGTGCGTAGTCGAGCCCGGCGCCGGCGAAGAACCCGAAGAGCGCCTGGCGCTCCTCGAACTCGTCATAGAAAATGTCCGCCGTCTCGAAGTCCACGAACTCGCCCGTTTCGGAGTAGCGGTAGGAAGCCAGCGAAACCCCGACCGCCAGGTACGGACTTACCCGGCCTCCCGGAAGCGGCCGGACACGTGCTCCGAACGTGTACTCGGTCATCTCCAGCCGCGCCGAGTGTTCGATCTCGGAACCGTCTTCGTACACCAGGTCCAGATAGGTGCCGGAGGTTTCCGACCCACCGGTGTCGAAACCGACCATGATTTCCACCATGGGCAGCAGCGCGAAGTCGACTTCGAATCCAATGCGGCCAGACCGGAAATCGCCCTCAGTGATGCCGAAATCCACATCGTTGCTATCGAAGAGCTGGCTTTCGATCTGCAAGGCGCGGAACCCGCCAAACGCGGAAAACCCATAGCGGGGCCGGGAGCCGGCGGTCTGCGAACTGTCCGGGTACCGGGTGCCGCGGGGGGGTTGGCTCGTGCCCTCGGCGGCGGCCCCGGTTCCGGGATCGAAGGTCGCGAAACAGGCAGTCGCAAGCAGTGTCGGCAGGAGTTGGCCGGGACGAATCATGGTCAGGATCCTTGGGGAAGCGCCGGTCCCACCGGCAAACACGACAACCTCGGTTGCGCAATGCCTGTGCCAGCGGCAAGAGCGCGGCCGCCGCCAGGTTGCTACCACCGGACGCGAAAGCCGAACAGGCCGCCGGAACGGTCCAGCCTGAGCTCGCCGAAGCCATCGAATCCTTCCGTGTGTTCCCCTTGGGCGCGGGCGTAGCGAAACTCGCCGAACAGTTCGACGCGGCCGCCGTCGGGCAGGCGCACGACGGCGACATCGGCTCCGGCGCCGGCAAAGAATCCGGGCAGGAACGACTTCTCCGCGAACTCGTCGTAGTAGATGTCCGCGGTTTCGAAGTCCACGAAGTCCCCGATTTCGTTGTACCGGTAGTAGGCGCCGGTCGCGCCGGCCATCAGGTAGGGGCGCACCCGCGCGGAACCACCGATCAGCCGAACGCGCACCCCGAGGCTCAACTCGGCCATGCTCAGCCGCGCCGAGTGTTCGATCTCTCCGCCGTCGTCGTACACCAGGTCGAGGTAGGAACCGAAGGTCTCCGCATCGGCGGTGTCGAAACCGATCGAGATGTCCACCCGCGGCAGGACGGCGAAGTCGAACTCGAAACCGTAGCCGCTGATCCGGAAGTCGTCATCGGTGATCCCGAAGTCAAATTCGTTGGCGGCAAAGAGTTCGCTCGTGGCGGCCAGAACCCGGATTCCGCCATACGTCGAGAAGGCGTACCGCGTTTCGGGCACGCTGCGCTGCGAGGCGTCCGGATACGGGCTCCGGCGGGGCGGCTGCCCGTCCTCCTCCGCCGCCGTGGTGGTCGCGAAGGCAAGCGTCGCGAGCAGGGTCATCAGGACATGTCGGGTACGGGTCACGGTGAGCTCCTTCAGCGGGCGCCCGGCGGCGCCGGAGCGGATTTCGCAATGCCTGTGCCAGCTGGGCGTGGGAGCCGGCAGGAGCCGGCTCCCGCCACCGCTGGCGCTCCGGGTCCCGGTGTGATCCGGGTGGCCAACTCACCGAAACTCCGGGGACCTGCCCGGGGAGCCAGGTGCGTCGCTCGTCGGGCGCCGGGTGACTTCGCCGGGGTGCGCCGAGACTCCAGCGGGCTCCGTTGAGGAACCGGATCGATTGGCGCGCGTTATATTCGTTTCCCGCGTGTCCCGACGAAGGAGGCTCCTGTCCATGTTCCGATTCTGCCGGTTGCACTCGCCCTTGGGGTGCTGATTGCCGCCCCTGGGTGTTTGCCCGAGGACACCGAGTTCGCCGCCCTGACGGCGTCCGCCACGGGCCGGCAGGGCCAGGAGGCTGCGGATCGGGAACACGCGCGCCAGCGGCCGGGGCATCAACGGACGGCGGACATACCCGCGCCCGATTCCGTGCCGGATGCCGCCCGGACCCAAGCGGCGTGGACGCTTGCCGACGCGTTCGCTGAAGTGGCGCGGGTGGCCACTCCGGCGGTGGTCAGCCTCACCGTCCAACACGAATCGGCCGGGTCGGACGAGGAAACGTTCGAACGATTCTTCGGGCTGCCGCAAAGCCCGCAACTGCCGCAGCCCAGGCTGCGCGAGGGGCGGGGATCCGGGGCCATCGTGGATCCGGCCGGTCTGGTCATCACCAACAACCACGTCGTGGAGGGAGCCTCCCGCATCGAGGTGACGTTCTCCGATGACCGGAAACTCGAGGCGGTGGTGGTGGGGCGCGATCCGCCAACCGATCTGGCGGTGATCCGCATCGAAGCCGACGGCGAGGTGTTTCCCCACCTCGCGCTCGGAATTCGGACGAAGTCCGGGTCGGGGAGTGGGTGCTCGCCATCGGGAATCCGCTCGGAAACAGTCACTCGGTGACGGCGGGCATCGTGAGCGCCAAGGGCCGGGTGCTCGGCGGCGACTATCAGGACTTCATCCAGACCGACGCCGCGATCAATCCGGGGAACTCCGGCGGTCCGCTGGTCAGCCTCGATGGCAGTCTGGTGGGGGTGAACACCATGATTCAGGTGGCCGGGGCCCCGGGAAATATCGGCCTCGGCTTCGCCATTCCTTCCAACCTGGTGCGCCGGGTGTATGACGAGCTGGCCTCCGAGGGCCAGGTGATCCGAGGTTGGCTCGGGGTGGCGGTTCAGCCGATGGACGCCGAGACGGCGAAGGCGTTCGATCTGGACGAGAGCGTCCGGGGCGCGATCATCACCGACTACTCGGGAGAGGATTCGCCGGCGGCGATGGCGGGCCTCAAGTACGCCGATGTCATCGTGCGGTTCAACGGCCGGCCCATCGAGAACAGCACGGACTTGCAGTTCGCGGTGGCCGATGCCCGTCCTGACGAACCCGCGACCGTCGAGATCCTGAGAGACGGTGCTCTCAGGTCGGTGGAGGTGACCCTGGGCCAGCGGGACTTCGAGGAAGCCGCACCACTGCTCGCCGAGGCGGCTCCGCCTGCCCCGCCGGATCCGCCGGAACCCGCCGGACGGTTGGGGATCGTCGGAGACACCCTCGAAGGCGAGCTGGCCGACCAGTTGCGCGCTGATTTTCCGGGCGTGGTGGTCCGGCGGGTGATCCCGGGCGGAATCGCCCACCAGGCCGGGATTCAACCCGGTTTCGTAATCACCGACGTGGCGGGCCGTCCCATCGAGAATGTCGGCGATCTCCGGGAAGCGCTCTCCGGCATCGAGGCGGGAGACACGTTCCCGATCTGGATGGCGCGCGCAGCAAGTCCGGGCGAATGGCAGCGGACCTTCGTCATCGTGGAAGCGCCGGAATAGCCGGTGGTGGAACCCGCGCGGCCCAGTTCTCCCGGTGGTGGTTCGGCCGGCGATCCATCCCGGCCAAACAACCGGTGATGAAACCCACGCGGCGTTCGGCCGGCGATCCATCCCGGCTGAACCGCGTCGCTGCGCGCCGCTCATCGTTGCGTTTCGGTCGAAATACACCCGGTATTCCTCCCTCACGCGCCTTGTCAGCCGGGCGCCTCGCCCCCACCGGGAGAACTGGCCAGCCTCGGCGCTCACCCGGGTTCCACCACAGGCTGTTAACGCTCGGGGTCGCGGGCACGCGGATTTTCGAAGCCGTAACGTTGCGCAAATCTGGGTTCACATTGAATTCATTTTGAGTCCCTGAATATTCACTCGATCGTGAACTTTGTTTCACGAATGGTTCAAGGACCCGTCATGCGGGAGAAACAACATGGCGCCTCATGTTGGAGGCACATACGCGGTTCGAGCGCGGCCGCTCCGACAACTCCTCTTCACCCGCCTTCCCAGTCTTCCGGCGTCGGTCGTTCTTCCCTTCGGTCTTCCTGTCGCTGACGCTCTGATCCGTGGCCGGACTCGGTATAGACCGCGCGCGGGAGCCGGGGATGTCGAGCAGCGAATCCGGTAGGAGCGTGTCCGGCCGGGTCTCCCGATTCCGCCAGGTCTCCCGATTCGTCGGCCTGATTCTGCTCTTCATCCTCTTTCTGGGAGCGATTGACGGCCTCGGGGGCGGGTTTCGAGGGCCTCGGGTCCGGGCTCCTCGACAGCTTTTTTCGGGCCTCGGCGAACCCCCTCGTCGGCCTCCTCATCGGAATTCTGGCCACTACCCTGGTGCAGAGTTCCTCGGTGACCAGTTCCCTCATCGTCGGTTTGGTGGCTGCTCCCGGGTCCCCGTTGCCGTTCGAGAGCGCCATCCCCATGGTGATGGGCGCCAACGTCGGGACCACGGTCACGAACACGATCGCCGCCCTCGGGCACCTGAGAGCCGGCCAGGAACTGCGGCGGGCCTTTGCCGTGGCGACCTGCCACGACTTGTTCAATCTGATGGCGGTGGGCATCCTGCTGCCGCTCGAGATGGCCACCGGTTTCCTGGCGCGCCTGTCCGGGTGGTGGCGGAGATCTTCGGAGGGGCACTGGGCAGCGGAATCGACTACGAGAGCCCGCTCAAGGGTGTCATTCAACTGGTTCCGAGGCCGATCGAGTGGTTCGCCGGCGTCGTCACCGGTTCGGATCAGGCGGCTGCCGCCATCCTGGCCATCGTCTCGGTGGTGCTCCTGGTGGTGGCCCTCGGATTGCTGGTTCGCACCCTGAAGAGCCTTTCCGCGGGTCGGGGCGAGGCCGTCATTCACCGGGTGCTCGGCAGCCACGCGCTTGCGGCCATGGGTGTGGGAGCGATCGTCACGATTCTGGTCCAATCCAGTTCGGTAACCACCTCGATGCTGGTCCCCCTCGCCGGGGCGGGGCTCTTGCTCCTTGATGACGCTTTCCCGGTCACCCTGGGCGCCAACGTCGGAACGACACTCACCGCCTTCCTGGCAGCTCTCGCGGTTTCCGGCCCCAATGCCCACTGGGGATTCCAGTTGGCGGTGGTGCACCTCCTCTTCAACCTGGCCGGGATTCTGCTCATCTACCCGGTTCCCAGGATCCGGCAAATCCCGCTGGCGGGTGCGCGCCGCCTCGCGGAGATCGCGGTGGCGAACAAGGCCGCGGCGGTCGGTTACGTGATCGTTGCGTTCTACGGGATCCCGGCGCTGCTCCTCGTGATCAGCCGCGCCCTGGGCTACTGAGCGCTCGTCGCCCCTGCGGTCCGCCGCGGCCCCACGCGGCGGCGCCGCGGCCGAGCGCGGGATTTGACCCACGCCGGTCACCCGGATCACCTCCGCGACCGTAGTGTCGCCTTCGAGGAGTCGACCCACCGCTGCCTGGCGCAAATCCGGGATGCCCCGCCGGCGGGCGGAGCGCGCCAGGTCCTCGGCCGTGCAGCCGCCAAGGATGTCGGCCGCGGCTTCGGAGTCGATGGTGAGGATCTCGAAGATTCCCCTGCGACCCCGGTAGCCGGTGTCCCGGCAGCGCGCGCAGCCGCGTCCCTGCCGAACGAGCCGCCCCCTGGATTTCCCGATCAGGAGGGTGCGGGCTTCCTCGGCCGACACCCGCGTCTCGCGAGTACAGCCACTGCAAATGGTGCGCACGAGACGCTGGGCTACCACGCCCACCAGGGTGGTCCCGATCAGAAACCGTGGCACTCCGAGATCGGCGAGCCGGGTGATCGCTCCGGGAGCGTCGTTGGTGTGTAGCGTGGAGAGAACCAGATGCCCGGTCAGGGCCGCCTGCACTGCCATCTCGGCGGTCTCCCGGTCCCGAATCTCGCCCACCATCACGATGTCGGGATCCTGCCGGAGCACGCTGCGGATGGTGGCCGCGAAGGTGAGGCGGATGCGCGGATTCACCTGAACCTGGCTGAGCGGCGGATAGATCAGTTCCACCGGATCCTCGATGGTGACGACGTTGACTTCGGGAGTCGCGAGGTGACGGAGCACCGAGTAGAGCGTTGTGGTTTTGCCGCTCCCGGTGGGACCGGTGACCAGCACCAGACCCTCGCGGCGGCCCAGCATTTGCCGCAGCCGGGTTTCGTCGTCTTCGGTCAGTCTCAACTGCTCCAGGGAGGAAACGAGCGCCGCCGGGTCGAACACCCGGAGTACCGCCTTCTCGCCGAAGATGGTGGGGAGTGTCGAGACCCGCAGCTCGATCTCCTTGTCGGGTTCGATCCGCTTGAAGCGGCCATCCTGAGGCCGGCGCTTTTCGGCGATGTCGAGTCCGCTGAGCATCTTGAGACGACTCACCACCGCCTGATAGACGATGCGAGGGAAGGTGTGCATCGTGCGCAGGACGCCGTCCACCCGAAACCGCACGACTGCCCGGTCGCGCTTCGGCTCGAGGTGAATGTCCGAAGCGCGCTGCTCGAACGCCTGGCGGAGGGATGTTGTCGAGCGCCGCCACGACCGGCCGGGTGGTTGGCTCCAGGTCTCCGGCGTCCACGGATTCCGAAGCGAACTCCTGCGTCCCCAGTTGGGAATCCGCGCCGTCTTCGTGGGTCAACTCGGTTTCGGCAGCCCGGAGCGAGGTGCGAAGGTTGTAGAGACTGCCGTTGATTCCCTCTATGTCGGAGCGGGTGGCCACCACCACGTTGACACTTACTCCCAGATACCGGCGGAGATCCGCGATCGCGCCGCGGTCGAAGGGGTTGGCGACTGCGACGGTCAGCGTGTTGCCTTCCTTCGAGAGGGCGCAGATCGTGTTCCGGCGCGCGAAAGGAGCGGGCAGGGCGCCGGTGACCACCTCCGGGTTGAGGTCCAGGGCGTTGATCACCTGGAAAGGGAGCCCGGCATCCTGGGCGACTGCTTTGGCTATGTCCTCTTCGGAGACGATCTCGTCGGCGAGCAGGGCCGCCTCCTGCCGCGCGGAAGACAGTCTTTCGATGGCGGCGGTGCGCTCCGCCATGGACGCCGGGATCCGTCCCTGTCGGCGGAGAAGCGGCAGCAGGCCGGGGATCGGATTCCGCACCGGGTGCGGATCCGGGCGGGATGCAGATGTCGGGGACACTCTGTAATGAGTAGACGGAAATTCGGCCGCTGCTTTCCCACCTCAGGACCGGAATGTGGAAAAGTCGTTCTTGGGTGGGTGGGAATCGTTCGTTACCGCGTATTTCTCAACGTCACGGCCGAAAGCGCAACGACGAGAGACGCGAAGCGAATCGTTCCAGCCGGAATGCATCGCCGGCCGGGTCCCCAGCGGGAGAACTGGGCCGCGTGATCTGGTGCGCAGGCTGCTAAATTTCTGCTCCCGGGCAGGCGCGTAGCTCAGGGGGAGAGCGCTACCTTGACACGGTAGAAGTCGGCGGTTCAAATCCGCCCGCGCCTACCATTCCTCCTTCTCCGGGGTACCCAAGACCCGCGGAGAATCCGGTCCGGTTCTTCGCCGTGAGCCGGTCGCGGTTCCTGCGAAACCACGACGGGCAACGACCGTCGGGCCTTGTGCGGCGTCCCGCGCCGGGATAAAAAGACACAGTGCCTTCTCCTTCCATCCGAATCCGCCTGACCGAAGGCGGCGAGGTGTCTCTCCCGACTGGGGATCCCCTTGCCGGCGTTGCTCCCGCTGGCGCCGTCGCCGCCATCCTGGATGGGCGGGAAGTGGATCTCGCCTACTGTCCCGAGTCCGACGCTGACGTGCGGTTCCTTACGCCAGCAGATGCCGGCGGGCTCCATGTGTTTCGCCACAGTTCGGCGCACCTTCTCGCCGCTGCGGTAAAGGATCTGTTTCCCGAGGCGCGCTATGGAATCGGCCCGCCGATAGAGGGCGGGTTCTACTACGACTTCCGGGTCGAAGAACCTTTCTCCCGCGAGGACCTCGACCGCATCGAAGTGCGAATGCGCGAGTTGGTCAAACAGCGCATCCCGTTTGAGCGCGAGATCCTCGACAAGGACGACGCCATTCGCGTCTTCGAGGAACAGGGGGAATTCTTCAAGGTAGAGCTCGTCCGCGAAAAGGGAGATGCGCGGGTTTCGTGCTATCGGGTCGGGGATTTCTTTGACTTTTGCGAGGGGCCGCATGTGCCGCACACCGGGGTGATTCGAGCCCTGAAGGTGCTATCGAGTTCGAACGCCTACTGGAAAGGGGACTCGAGCGGGATTCCGATGCAGCGGATCTACGCCACGAGCTTCACCGACAGGAAGGAGATGGCGGCCCACCTTGCCCGCCTGGAGGAGGCGAAACGCCGCGACCACCGCCGGATCGGTCGCGATCAGCGCCTCTTCCTGATTCTCCCGGAGGCTCCCGGTCAGGTGTTTTGGCTCCCCGCGGGGATGGGAGTGGTCAACCGGTTGCTCGATTCCATGCGCGAAAAGCTGGAGCGGCGTTCCTACCAGGAGATCCGCACTCCGTTGATCCTGAATGAGTCGGTCTGGGCCCGCAGCGGCCATCTCGATCACTATCGGGACAACATGTTCTTCATCGAGTCGGACGAGAACCGTTTCGGAATCAAGCCGATGAACTGTCCGGGTGCGGCGCTCGTCTACCGCTCCGACATCCGTTCGTACCGCGATCTGCCGCTCCGTCTTTCGGAGTTCGGCCACTGCCATCGTTTCGAACCCTCGGGCGTTCTTTCGGGCCTCACCCGGGTGCGCGCCTTCACCCAGGACGACGCCCACGTCTACTGCCGGCTCGACCAGGTAAGGGCGGAGGTCGTGGCCCTGGTGGATCTCGTGAAGGAGGTCTACGGCGAGTTCGGCTTTGAGGACATCCAGATCGAGGTGTCGACCCGACCCGAAAAGTCGGTCGGTACCACCGAGAGCTGGGAACAGGCGGAAGTGGCGCTGGTGGAAGCCCTCACCGAGTCCGGAGATGCGTGGTCGGTGAATTCGGGAGATGGCGCGTTCTACGGCCCCAAGATCGACTTCCATGTCCGTGACGCCCTGCGCCGCAGCCACCAGTGCGCCACCATCCAGCTCGATTTTTCCCAGGCTCCGGCTTTCGATCTGTACTACGCGACCGAAGACGGCGGGCGCGAGCGCCCGGTGGTGATTCATCGGGCCATCCTGGGTTCGGTGGAACGCTTTTTCGCGCTCCTCCTCGAGCACACCGCGGGAGCCCTGCCGGTCTGGATCGCGCCGGTCCAGGCAATGCTGATTCCCATTGCCGATCGGCATCAGGCGGCGGCGGCGGAAGTAGCCGACGCGCTCCGGGCTGAGGGGTTCCGGATCGCCGTTGACGACCGCCGGGAGAAGATGGGCTACAAGATCCGCGAAGCGGAAGTGGCGCGGGTTCCGTTCATGGTGGTGCTCGGCGACCGCGAAGTGGAAGAAGACACCCTGGCGGTGCGCACCCGGGGTAAACGGGGCCAGGAAATCCTGACGACCGCCGCCCTTGCCGACCGGCTAGGGGAACTCACAAAGAACAGGTCGCTCACTCCGTGACCGGCCGAGCAGCCGGTGGTGGAACCCACGCGGCCCAGTTCTCCCGGTGGGAGCTCGGCCGACGATTCGTCCCGGCTGTTCACCGCGTCGTTTCGCGCCGCTCATCGTTGCGTTTCGGTCGGAATACACCCGGGCCAGTTCTCCCGGTGGGGGCTCCTCCCTCACGCGCCTTGTCAGCCGGGCGCCTCGCCAGCCTCCGCGCTCACGTGGGTCCACCACCGGCTGTTCACCACGTCGCTTCGCGCCGCTCATCGTTACGTTTCGGTTGAAATACACCCGGTATTCCTCCCTCACGCGCCTTGTCAGCCGGGCGTCTCACCGGCCTCGGCGCTCCCCCGGGTTCCACCGCTGGCGACTGGCGACCCGGCGCGCGGCGGGCTGCCGCTGGCGAACCGGGCCCGAAGTGGCGATAATCCGCCGACCCGCATGCGGTGCGGAGGTGTTCCATCGATAGTTCTCTCAGGGTAAATGACCGAATACGAGCTCCCATCGTCCTGGTGATCGGCGAGGACGGCGAAAAACTGGGCGATTTGGCCCTGACGGATGCCCGGCGCCTGGCCGCCGACCGGGGACTCGATCTCGTCGAGATCGTGGCGAACCGGAACCCTCCGGTCTGCAAGATCATGAACTATGGCCGGTTCGTGTATCAGCAGAGCAAGAAATCCCAAGATTCCAAGAAACACCAGAAACAGAACCAGGTCAAGGAGGTCAAATTCCGCATCATCATCGGACAGCACGACCGCGCGACGAAGATGAAGCAGATTGAGCGATTCCTCCATGAAGGTCACAAGGTCAAGGCCACGATCTGGTTCAAGCGGGCGCGCGAGCGGAGTCGTCGGGAATTGGGAGATCGCATCCTCGATGACGTCACGGCGCGGCTTGCCGAGATCGCAACCGTCGAGTCCAGATCGAGCATCGTCGGAAACCAGATGAGCATGATCCTCGCTCCAACCCGCCGTCTGCTCGAGGCACTGCGCATCGAGCGCGCCGAAAAAGCCGAGACGGAGGAAGATCCCCACGTGGCCCGGACGCGGCGTGCCTTGCGCGTCGCGGCCGGTTGAGCCGCAAACAAATTCCCGGAGCCCATCCATGAAACTCAAAATGAAAACCCATCGCGGGGCCGCCAAGCGGTTTAAGAAGACTGCCAGCGGCCGAGTGCGCCGCCGGTGTGCGTACCACGGCCACATCCTCACCAAGAAGTCAGCGAAGCGTCGCCGCCGGCTCCGTAGCGGCGCTTGGGTGTTCGCGGGTGAGGCGAAGATGATCTCCCGGATCATCGGCTGATGGCGGGAGTTCCTTCCACCACAGGCTGTAAGCAGCCTGTGGTAGAACCCACGCGGCGTTCAAGCGGCGATGCATCCCGGCTGAACCACTCCGCTTCGCCCCCCCACCGGGAGAACTGGCGTTCTGCGTTGCGTTTCGGTCGAAATACACTAGGTATTCCTCCCTCACGCGCCTTGTCAGCCGGGCGCCTCGCCGCTCTCGGCGCTCACGCGGGTTCCACCACAGGCTGCCAGGAGCTGGAGAAGACACGATGTCCCGAGTAAAACGCGGGACCCACCGGCGGGATCGCCGCCGGCGGGTTCTCAAACTGACCCGAGGCTACCGCGGGATGCGCGGCAAGCTCTATCGGCACGCGATGCAGGCCCTGGATCGCGCCCTGTCGTACGCCTACCGCGACCGGCGCACCCGCAAGCGTGATTTTCGCCGCCTCTGGATAACGCGCATCAGCGCGGCATCGCGCGAGCGCGGGCTTCCGTACGCCCAGTTCGCCCACGGGCTGAACCTGGCGCAGGTGGGGGTCAACCGGAAACAACTGGCGGAGCTGGCCGTGCACGACCCGGGGGCCTTCGAATGCCTGGTGGACCGGGCTCGGGGCGCCCTACAGGCTGGGGCGAGCCCCGGGTAGCGAGAGGTACCGATACCCAACCGGAAACCGTCCATGTCCGATCCCGCAGCCGCCGTCCGGGGGTTGCTGGCGGACATCGAGCGGGCGGCGTCCGCTTTCGAGACGGTTTGCGGAGAAATTCGCGGAGAAATTGCGCAGCAAGCGGAGCAAACCGATGCGCGCGTCCGCGAGGCCCAGCGGGACCGGGATGCGGTTCGGGAGGCGGAGCAGGGAGCCAGGACCCGGGCGAAGCAGGCCGAGCAGGCGACCGCGATCCTGCGTGAGGAACGCGAGGTGATCCGCCAAGCCCTTCGTGCGGTCACCGGGGCAGGGGATTCCTCCGAAAATGGTTCTCGCTGAGGTCGGTCTGCGATGAGCGCGATCGTCGAAGTCGAGGTTGCGGGCCGCTCCTATCGCTTGCGCTCGGACGAGGGGGGCGCCGACCTGGAGGCGGTCGCCCGGCTGGTGAACGGGCGCATCGGAGACATCGTGCGGGCGGCGCCGAAGCTTGAAAAGGAGAAGGTCGCGATTCTCGCGGCGCTCAACATGGGGGATGAGTTGCTGCGCCAGCGGGCGGCGAACGACGCCAGGTCGGACGAAGTCGAGCGGGCGGTGGAGGCCGTGCGGGGCCGGCTCGCTGATTTCGTGAAGCGCATGGAGCAAGCGGCCCCCCGGAAGGACTGACCGCCGTCGGTCGCGGCCCCGGATCCAACAGGCGGTGGCGAAACTCTGGCGCGGTCCATTCGCGGCGCGGAGCGCCGCGGGGGAGGGGCGTGGGGAGGGGTTTCCCCTCCCCACGGAGTGTGCGGTGGCGAAACACTGGTGCGGTCCATTCGCGGCGCGGAGCGCCGCGGGGGAGGGGTGTGGGGAGGGGTTTCCCCTCCCCACGGAAGACGATGGCGCGGATCGCGGAGCGATGCGCGGTATCCCCCTGTGGGGGAAGCGCCGCGCACGCGCACAAGTCGCCGGAATCTGCTGCCCGTACCGTTCCAGGAATCGTGCGGGGTGCTTTCCCCACGGGGGCTAGCTAGTTGCGCGGTTCCTCCGGCGGGGAAGACGGTCCCTCGGGATCGCGGGCGGCCGGGTCTCCCCCGCCGCGGTCCGGGTCCGGAGAGGATCGGTTGCTCCGGCGTATTCTGGCCGCCCTTCCGGCGCATCTCCGGGAGGACACGGACGCCGTGCCCCGGATGATGCTGGGACCGGGGGATGATGCTGCGGCATTTCGTTGGCCCGGGGGCGGCACGCTGCTCCTGACAACGGATGCGTCCGAGGAGGGCGTTCACTTCGATCCCCGCCTTCATCCACCGCGGGCCATTGGACGCCGGGCGGTGGCGGCGGCGGTAAGCGATGTGGCCGCGATGGGCGGTCGTCCGGTGGCGACCCTGATCTCCCTGGTTGCTCCGCCGGCCCGGGAGGAGGAGGCGGCAGCGATCGCCGAAGCGGCGGCGCACCGCGCCTCGGAGTTGGGCGCCCCCCTCGCGGGGGGCAACATCACGTCCGGGGAGCGCCTCGGGCTTCACGTCACGGTCGCCGGGGCCGCCGCCCCGGGCGCTCCGATACTGCGCCGAACGGGAGCGCTGCCCGGTGACGGCCTCTTTGTGACCGGGGAGCTGGGAGGCGCCGCGCTGGGTCTTTGCCTGCTGCGCCGCCGCGCGGGTGCCGAAGGGTCTCCTTTCGGCCCGGACGAAGAGCGGTTGGTGGCCCGCCAGCTCGATCCCATCCCGCGGCTGGCGGCCGGGTTGGCCCTGGCCGGCGCCGCCCGGGCCGCCATGGACATCTCGGACGGATTGGCGCTCGACCTCCATCGCCTGGCCGAAGCGAGTCGGGTCGGAGCGCTTATCGAGGAGGCCCGGCTACCCCTCGCCGGGGAGGGCGCGGCGGGTCTGGAGGCCGCACTCTTCGGCGGCGAGGACTACGAGCTGCTGGTCGCCGGGCCGAAGGAGCGGATACTGGCCGCCGCCGCGGCGGCGGCCATCCCGGTGACGCTGGTGGGGTGGGTCACCGGGGTCGGGGAAGGAGTGCGCCTCGGTCGTTCCGGCGGGCTCACCGAACCCCTGCCGCCCCGGGGCTGGGACTCCTGGACCGCCGGGCCGCGGCGCTCGGGATCGCGCTGAACGCGGCGGCCGCGGAGAAGAGCGCGGCCTCGTTCCAGGGAGGGGCCATCAGTTCGACTCCGAACGGGAGGCCGCTCCGCTCGCCCGCCGGGACAGCGATCGCCGGCACTCCCGCGAGGGCGGCGAGAATCGTGAACCGGTCTCCATCGTAGTCGGCGGTGGCGGGCACCGGATCGGCGAGATGGCGAGGGGGGACCTTCGTGATCGGGAGCAGGAGCAGTGCCCCGTGGTCGAAGGCGGAGAGCACGCGCGCGGTGATCTGTCGGCGCGCTTCGGTCGCCGCTCCGTAGATGGCGTCCCGGTAGCCTCGGGACAAGACGGTGGTCCCGAGCAGGATGCGCCGGCGCACCTCGGTCCCGAAACCCTGGGTGCGGCTCTCCCGAAACGTGGTCGGCAGGGATTCCTGGCCTGCTCTGCGGTGGCCGTAGCGGATGCCGTCGAACCGTGACAGATTGGAACTCGCTTCGGCGCAGGCCAGGAGGTAGTAGGCGGCGACGCTGCTCTCGGGGTTGGGCAACCCGATGCGCCGGATCTCGCAGCCGGCCTCCTCGAATCGGCCCACCGCCGCGTGAAACGCCCTCTGCGAGGGAGCGTCGAGCACCTCGAGGTCGGCATCGCCCACCGTGACGATCCGGCGGGGCAGTTCGGGTCGGGCCGCGGCGGCCGCGAAGTCGGGAACCTTCCGGGACACGCTCGTCGCGTCTCGGGGATCGCCGCCGGCGATTTGGGAAAGGACGTGTCCCAAGACGCGCAAATCGGTGGCGAGGCAGCCGACCTGGTCGAACGACGAGGCGTACGCGGTGATGCCGTAGCGGGAAACTCGGCCGTAGGTGGGACGGATGGCGAAGATGCCGCAATGCGCGGCCGGCTGGCGCACGGAGCCGCCGGTATCGGTTCCGAGCGCCGCCGGGACCGCACCCGCGGCGACCGCCGCTGCCGGGCCGCCGGACGAACCGCCGGTGATCCGGGTGGGATCTACCGGATTCCGCGTGGGGCCCCGGAAGCCCCTGGTGGTCGAGGAGCCCATTCCGAACTCGTCGAGGTTCGCGGTGCCGAGGATGATCGCGCCCGCCTGCCGGAGGCGCGTGACGACGGTGGCATCGTAGGGCGCGCGGTAGTCGCGAAGCAGGGCGGAACCGGAAGTCGAAGGCAGTCCCCGGACGGCGATGTTGTCCTTCACCGCCACCGGAAGTCCGAACAGCGGGCCCCGGCAATCCGGCGACTGCCGATCGAGCGCCCTGGCGGTGGCGAGCGCGCCCTCGCGGTCGAGATGCAGGAACGCCTGGACTCGGCGGTTGATTGCCGCCGCGCGTTCGAGTGCGTCCTCCGTTCTCGCGGCCAGGCTCGGTTCTCCGCGCGCTCCCGAGGCTGCGGGCGGCCCGTTATCGGAAGTCGCCACTCCGATCCTCAGAGTACCCGGGGAACCTGAATCAGACGCTCTCCGGTTTCGGGGGCGATTTCGAAGGCGGCGCCTTCCGGGAGGCCGCCCTTTGGGTCGTCGGGACGGAGCGGACATGGCGCCTGGCCCGCCCTCGCGCTTCCGGACGGAGTTCGGGTGGCCTCGGACATTCGGGTGACGCGGCGGGAAAAGGCCCGGAGCACGGTGCGCGCTTTCGAGAAGGCTTCCCGATCTTTGGGATCGTGAGGCGCCGCGAGGGCGGCCAGTTCGGCGATCCCCAGGAACTCGTTCTCGTCCATGTCTCGTTCAGGTCGTCTCGTGCGGAGTGGTCTCCGAGACCCGTCAGAGGCGGCTTCGGAACGCGACCGGCGCAGTATAGTCGGGGCGATGTGGTGTTCGGTCAGGGGCCGCGCGGCATGTCTGCTGGCGCTCGGACTCTGGTCGTGCGGGGGAGCGCCGAATGGCGAACCGGTGACGGGGCCGCCCAGCGAGGCGTTCGTCTTTCCCGCGGAGTTCGAGCTCCCACCGGGCTCTCTGGATGGCGTGGCCGACCTACGAGAACAAGCGCGGGTTGCCGACCGAACCGTTGCTTATCGAGATCATCCGCGCGGCCGAGGGTCGGGTGGCGATCGAACTGCTCGCCCAGGACGACGTGGAAGGCGGCGCCATCCGCGACCGTTTCCGGCGGGAGGGGGTTCCCGATCGTCACGTGACCATTCACAGCGTGCCCCACGGCGATGTCTGGATGCGGGACATGGGGCCCATTTTCCTGCGCGGCGATCGAGGTGGGCTCCGGATCGCCGACTTCGGCTTCAACATGTGGGGTTACGAGTCGCCGGAGACCGCCAATTCCAGACTCGAAGAGGCGGTTGACCGGCGCATCGCGGAACTGCTCGATCTCGAGGTCGACAAGTCAGCGCTCATCAGCGAAGGAGGCTCCCGGGAGTTCAACGGCCGGGGCGTGATGATTGCGGTGGAGGCGGTGGAGCTTCAGCGCAATCCAGGGTCAAGGCTCGAAGCCATGGAGGAGGAGTTCCACCGGGTCCTGGGGGCCTCCAAAGTCATCTGGCTTGCCGAAGGAATGGCGGAGGACGAACTCACCTTCCGCGGCCGGCTCCCCGGGGACGTCTACACCGTCATCACCACCGGCGGTCACGTGGACGAGTTCGCGCGCTTTGCGGACCCCCAAACCATCCTCCTCGCCGAGATCACGGAAGAGGAACGGCGGACGGATCCCATCGCCGCCATCAGCCATGAGCGCCTGGAGGAGAGCTTCCGGAGACTCCGCGCCGCGACCGATCAGGACGGCAACCCCTTCCGGATCGTGCGGATGCCGGTTCCGGATTCCCTTTTCGACACGATGCGGAAAGGAGACGGGGTGTTCGACTACATTCAGCCGCTCGACTACGAAGACGGATCCCGGATCGATCCCGACGACGAGATCCGGGTCATCGCGGCCGCGAGCTATCTCAACTTCCAGATCACGAACGGGCTCGTCCTGGCCCAGAAATACTGGAAGCCGGGAATGCCCGAGACCGTGCGCGCCAAGGATGAACGGGCACTCGCCATCCTGGCCGATGTGTTTCCCGGCCGGGAAGTGCTCCCCCTCGACGCGATGGCAGTCAACCTGGGTGGCGGCGGGATTCACTGCATCCTCCAACAGGAGCCTGAGCCTCGCGCGGTCCGGTAACGGGGTGCGACGGGTGATCTGGTCGCTTGATGGGGAGATCTCGGGGGCGACCAGGCGTCGCACCCCGTTACCGAACCAAAAGGTTCGCCGCCATCAGTTTTTGCGCGCAGAGCGATGCGCCGACCCACCGGGAGGGCAGCGCCTCCGGGAACGCCGGGATTCAAACCGGCATCGCCCGCCCGGGGCGGCCGACACCAGCACCATCTGCCTCACATGACACGCGGTAACCGAACCGCTTCCGAGGTTCGACCGAAGTGAGCGGAGCGGAGGGGTGGGGGGCCCTCAGCCTCATCCCGAGCCTTGCGGTGCTGGGCCTGGCGGTCCTGACCCGCCGCCCTCTCGAGGCGCTGATCTTCGGATCGCTGGTCGGCCACCTGATGCTCTCCCGAGGCGGCTTCCTCCGCGCCTTCCTCGAGAACGTCCAGTCGGTGATGGCCGAACCGGCGAGCGTTTGGGTGGTGTTGGTCGTGATGCTCTTCGGCGCCCTCATCGGGATCCTCGCCCGCGCGGGCGGGTCGCGCGCTTTCGGCGAGGCGCTGTCCCGGAGACTCCGGACCCGCCGCGCGGTGCTACTCGGCGCGTTCGGACTCGGCATCGTTACCTTCGTGGACGACTACCTGAACGCCCTGGCGGTGGGAGCAGCCTTCCGGGGGGCGGCGGATCGGATCGGAATCTCCCGCGCTCGCCTCGCCTACGTGGTGGACAGCACGGCGGCCCCGATCTGCGTCCTGATCCCGGCTTCGACCTGGACGGTTTTCATTGCCGGGCTCTTCGAGCAGAACGGGCTCGCGGCTCCGGGCGGCGGGATCGGTCTCTACGCAACCATCATTCCCTACCTCCTTTACCCGTGGTTCGCGGTATTGCTGGTGCTGGCCGTCATCCTGGGGGTGGTACGCGATTTCGGGCCGATGGCGGACTCCGAGCGGGCCGTCCGCTCCGGGAAAGTCCCGCAGGCCGCCGCGCTCGACGAAGGCCTGGAGCCGCCGCCTACCGCGGGCCCGCCCGCTCGGCCCGGGCTCCGTACCCCGGCATTTGTGCTCCCCATCCTGACTCTGCCGGCGGCCACCCTGGCGCTTGGTGGGGACGCGCTGTTCGGCGTTGTGGCGGCGCTGGGAGTGGCGCTGCTGCTGACTGGTCTGGTCCGTCCGGCGGGTGGTCTCGGCCCCGTCGCCGACGGCGCCTTCCTCGGGATGGAGAAGATGGTCTATCCCCTCGGGATTGTGCTCGTTTCTTTCGTCCTCCGCGATGTGAACGCTTCGCTCGGATTGACCGAGTTCGTGATCGGTAGCGTGCAGCCGATTGCGAGCGCCTGGATGCTCCCGGCGCTGGTATTTGTGACGCTGTCCGGAGTGGCATTCGCCACCGGGTCGTTCTGGGGGGCCTACACGGTCAGCATGCCCGTAGTCGTTGGCCTGGCCAGCGAACTGGGGGCTCCGCTGCCGCTTACCCTGGGAGCCTTGGTCTCGGCGGGCGCCTTCGGTTCCCACGCCTGCTTCTACGGCGATGCCACGGTGCTCGCGGCGCGCAGCGCCGGATGCTCCCTGGTGGAGCACGTCAGGACGCAGTTGCCGTACGCCCTGATCGGGGCCGCCGCTGCGCTCGTCGGATTCGTTCTCCTCGGTCTGATCTCGGGCTAGCCCGGATTTCTCATACTCACGGCCCGAAGAGCACTCCGGTGAACCGCAACCTGTTGACGAGGAAGACGGTTACACGTGAAGCGAGGGTCCTGACCTATCTGACGGCGTGTCGGATAGGGAACACGGACTTCCAGCTCGTTGCTGTGAAAGAGCAGGTCTCACAGGTACGCCACCATCCAGATGATGCCGTCGGTCAGGGAACGCCGACCTCCGGTCGGCACAGCCCGCCGGAGGCGGGCGGAGTCGCGTATCGCCACACACCGGGATGGTTCCTGTCTCGGCGCTGTCCCCATCCCAGGAGGTGGCGTTTCCGTGCCCGGCCGCGCTTCCGCTCAGTCAGGATTGCGCCGCTCGCCCCGCTTCGCGGGGCGGTGCCGACCGGAGGTCGGCCCAGTTCTCCCGGTGGGGGCTCCCTTGCCTGCGCGTCGCTCCGCCTGGTGGCATGAGCGCCAGGCGCCATGTTCAGCGTCCGCGTGGCGCCTTCTGCGACTCGGCGAGCGCTCCCGAGTATGAGAAATGCGGGTTAGCACTTTTTCTGTGCCCGGAGCCCGGTCACGACAGCATCAGTCGCGACAGAATTACCCGATGAATCCCGAAGTGAAATCCGGAGGACAGCCCCGGCTTGCCCTGATCCAGCGCGCGATTGAATCTGACCGCGACGCCGCGCACGCGGGAGCCGTGAGTGCCATTCGCAAGGCGGCGGCCGGCGGGGCTCGCATCGTCTGCCTCCCCGAGTTGTACGACCTGCCCTACTTTCCGCGGCTGGTCGCGGTCGAGTCCTGGCGGTACGCCGAGCGGCAACCCTCGGAACGGGTTGGGGAACTGGGCCGGCTGGCCGGCGAACTGGGAGTCGTGCTGGTGGTGCCGGTCTTCGAGGAGGCTGCCCCCGGCGTGCTGTTCAACACGGCCGTCGTCTATGACGCCGACGGCAGGTGTCTCGGTTCCTACCGGAAGAATCACATCCCGGACGGACCCGGCTATCACGAAAAGTACTACTTCACGCCGGGAGACCGCGGGTATCCGGTATGGGAGACGGCCTTCGGGCGGATCGGAGTGGGTGTCTGCTGGGATTCGTGGTTTCCCGAGACGGCCCGGCTGCTCGCCCTTGGCGGCGCCGACCTCCTCCTGTTCCCTACCGCGATCGGTAGCGAGCCGGATCGGCCGGGCTACTCCTCGGAAGACGCCTGGCGGACGGTCATGCGTGGGCACGCGATCACGAACGGCGTCTTCGTCGGGGCTCCGAACCGGGTTGGTGTCGAAGGCACGATGACCTACTACGGCGGAAGTTTCGTCTGCGATCCCTTCGGCGAGGTGGTGGCTCATGCCGGTGACGATCCCGAAATCGTGTTTGCGGATCTCGACTACGGGAAGAATCGGGAACTGCGCGAACTGCTCCAGTTCTTTCGGGATCGGCGGGTCGACACCTATGGCGCCTTGCTGCGGGTATCACCCGACCTCGGGTCGTCCGAGTAGCGGATCGTGCAAAACCCGCGCGTCAGGGAACAGGCATTTCTGACCCTCGCCGCGGTCTTCATCGCGGCGCTCATCGCCTGCAATCTGATCTTCCGCAAGTTCTTCGTCTGGGAGATCCCCGCTCTCGGCCTTCTCGGCCTGAACCCCCAGATGGAACTCTCGGTCGGGATCCTGGCGTATCCGGTCACTTTCATTTGTACCGACGTCCTGTCGGAGTTCTATGGCCGCCGCCGGGTGAGCCAACTGGTGACCGCCGGGTTCTTCGCGAGCATCTTCGTGGTGGGGCTGGTGGCGCTCTCCAATGTGATGCCCGCCGCCGGTTGGAGCGCGGTGGACGACGCGACGTTCGACTTGGTGTTCGGGATCCAGTCGGTCGCGGTCACCGCCTCCATGTGCGCGTACCTGGGCGCCCAGTATCTGGACGTCCGCCTGTTCCACTACTGGAAGCGACGAACCGGCGGGCGCCATCTGTGGCTTCGCAACAACGCCTCGACGTTTACCTCGCAACTCGTGGACACCATCCTGATCACCACTGTCCTCGCGCTGCTCGGCGCCGAGGAGATCACCATCGAACGGGTGCCGATCCTGATCGCCAACGGGGTGATCTTCAAGTGGTTCGTCGCCATCGTCGACACCCCGCTCGTTTATGGAGCGGTGTGGTTCATGCGCAACCGGCTGGGCATCGAGGAAACCCCGGAAGAGGGAACCGGCGCGCGCCCCGGACCGGTTCCCCCGGACCGGTTCTCTGACGCGTAGCGGCTTGTCGGGCCGGCGCCCGGCCGGTGCCCCCCCGGCGGGACCCCGGCGTTTTGGGGTCAGTTCGCGAAGGTGTCCCGGATGGCCTGTCGGATGTGCTCGTTGAAAGCGGGCAGGCCGCCGGGATCGGGACCGCCCCCCTCGGCGCGATCCGCCCGTCCTCCGCCGCGGCCGCCGATCAGTGTCGCGGCCTCCCCGAGAAGCCGGTTGGCGGGAAGGCGTTCGGCAATTTTCTCAGAGACTCCCAGAATCACGGCGGCTCGCCCGTCCCGGACCGAGGCTGAAACCGCGACCCACGGCTTGCCGTCCTGCCGGTCGCGAAACGCGTCCATCAGCCGACGGTGTTCGTTCTTCGAGACGCCGTCGAGAGGTGCGGGCATCCACACCAGGATCCCGGCGATGGTCTCGGTGTCGGACAAAGAATCGGGTCCGGTAGCCGGTCCGGTACTCCCGCGGAGCGCGAGGCGGTCCTGAAGGCGCTCCACCTCGCGTTCCATCCGCCTGAGGTCGGACCGCATTTTCTCCACCTTGCGGGCCACTTCCTCGGGACGGGTATTGGCCGCCCGTCCGATGTCGCCCAGCAGGCGCCGGCCCCGGATCACGTGCTCGATCGCCGGCCGGCCGGTGAGTGCCTCGACCCGGCGGACCCCGGCCGATACCGACTCCTCGGAAACGATGACGAACACCCCGGCCTGACCCGTCGCGCCGAGGTGGGTGCCGCCGCAGAGTTCAACGCTGAACTCGGGCACCTCGATCACTCGCACCTCGGTGCCGTACTTGTCCCCAAAGAACGCGAGTGCGCCCCGGGCGAGGGCCATGTCGAGAGGCATCACACTCGCCAGAACTTCCCGGTCGGCCCGGATCTGCTCGTTCACCCTTCCTTCGATGGTCCCGATTTCGGTGGGCGTGAGCGCCGCGTAGTGGGTGAAGTCGAACCGCAGGCGTTCGGGAGCAACGAGAGACCCCGCCTGCTTCACGTGCGGCCCCAGGGTGTCGCGGAGCGCCGCATGGAGGAGGTGGGTCATGGTGTGGTGTTCCGCAGCCCCCCGGCGCCGTGTCCGGTCCACGAAGGCTTCGACGCGCTCCCCGGCGCCGATGGCCCCCTCCCGCATGCGGACCGTGTGCACCACGAGGCCGTCGCGGCTCTGCGAGTCGACGACTTCCGCGATTCCGCCCGCTGAGCGGAGGAGTCCGCGATCTCCGACCTGTCCGCCTCCCTCGGGGTAGAAGGGGGTTCGATCCAGGATCAACTCCCCGGTGGCCCCCGCCAAAAGCGCTGGAGCCGGAACCGGAGACCCGCTTTCCTCGGCGGCGAGCGCCGCGAGCACTCGGCAGCCGTCCGCCTCGGTGCCGTCGTAGCCCAGGAAGCGGGTGGGCTGGCCTTCGGCGATGTCCCGGTAGGCCGTGGAGGCGGCGGCGGGTTTTCCCCTTCCAGGATTGTCGGGCGCGTTCCCGCTGCTCGCGCATCCGGGACTCGAACGCTTCGTGGTCCACCGACATCCCGTGCTCGCGCGCCACCTCTTCCACCAGATCGAGGGGCAGGCCGAACGTGTCGTAGAGGCGGAAGGCGTCTTCCCCCGGGACTTCCGCCGCGTCCTGCACCGAGCCCCGTGCCAACACGCGGTCGAGCTGGCCCATCGCGGTGGCGAGCGTCCCGGAGAAACGCTCCTCCTCGAAGGCTGCGACCCGCAGAATCAGATCGCGGGAAAGACCGAGTTCCGGCCACGCGTCCGCCATTCCGGAGATCGCCAGATCGGTCATTTCGGGCAGAAACGGCTCCGGCACTCCCGCCTTGCGACCGAAACGAAGGGCCCGCCGGAGGATCTTGCGAAGCACGTATCCCCGGCCCTCGTTTGCAGGAAGCACCCCGTCCGCGATCAGGAACGCCGTGGCTCGCGCGTGGTCGGCGATCACCCGGGCCGCCGTTCGCACCGCTCCGGGATCGAGGTCGCGAGCGGCGCGTCCCTCCACGGCGGTGACCAGGCCGGCAAAGAGATCCGTGTCGTAGTTCGAACGGACCCCCTGCACCACGGCGGCGAGGCGCTCGAGTCCCATGCCCGTGTCCACCGAGGGGGCGGGGAGTGGTGTGAGGGTGCCGGCGTCGTCGCGATCGAACTGCATGAACACCAGGTTCCAGATCTCGAGATACCGGTCGTCGTCCGGGTAGGCGGGACCCTGGTCGTAGTGGATTTCGGAGCACGGACCACAGGGTCCGGTGTCACCCATCGACCAGAAGTTCTCGGCGGCGGGGAGCGCGGAGATCCGCTCCTCGGGCAGGTAGGACTTCCAGATCGCGCGCGCCTCTTCGTCCGGGGGGGTGGTCCGGTCACCGGCAAAGACCGAGGCCGAAAGCCGGTCCGGATCAAGCCCCAGATCCCGGGTGAGGAACTCCCAGGCCAGTGCGATGGCGTCTTCCTTGAAGTAGTCGCCGAAGGAGAAGTTGCCCAGCATCTCGAAGAAGGTGTGATGCCGCGGCGTAAAGCCCACGTTATCCAGGTCGTTGTGTTTGCCCCCGGCGCGCACGCATTTCTGCACGCTGACCGCGCGGGGCTTTTCCGGGGTCGCGTACCCCAGAAAGTAGTCCTTGAACTGGTTCATCCCGGCATTTGCAAAGAGCAGCGTCGGGTCGTCGTGGGGAACGAGCGACGAACTCTTGACCACCAGGTGGTCCCGGGCGGCGAAGAAGTCGAGAAACGCCCGGCGCAGCTCGGCGCCGCCGGTCGGGGGTGATGTCATCTCTCGATCTCCCGCTCACCCTCCTCGCTGGAGGCGTTGATGTTGGACGAAAGGGGCGTGCCGGGCCGCTGCCCACGAGTAGCCCCGGGCAACCAGGCGCCGGAAGAGACGGCCTGCCTCCTTCCGGTTCCGGGTGTCCGGTTCCGCTGCCGCCGAGTCCCCCTCCGCGTCTCCGCCGGCGGCGCGACGCCACATCGTTTGGAGCGCGATCGCCGCGCGCTCGTTTTCGGCCCCGTCGGGGAACTCCGCCCGGATGGCTTCCTGCGCCAGTTCTTCGGGAATCTGCCGCCGCTGCAAGTACGCCTTCACCTTGAGCGGACCCTGATGCTTCGTCCGCACCTGAGCCCGCACCACCGCGAACGCGAGCGAGCGGTCGTCGAGGTAGCGGCGTTTCAGCAGTCGGGAAAGGGTCTCTTCGACCTCATCTTCCGCGAACTCCCGCGCGAGGAGCTTCGTCCGCACTTCTCCCTCGCTCAGATCCCGCCGGGCCAGCATGCCGATGGCGACGGCCCACGCCGTCCGGGGGGGGCCGGGAAGGCGGGTCCGGAGCGCGGCACATGGGCGGGAGACTAACGCGAAGGCTGGCCGCCTCTGGGGCGAATTCAGCTCCGCTAGCTACGACCTCCCGGCCCTTCGCCGGAGTGGTTTCACGCCCCGCAGTGGGCGCACTGAGAGGCGTCCGGATGGCGCCGTCGTCCGCAGTTCCAACAGCTGCGAGGCCGCCGTTCGGCTTCCCGGATCCGGCTCAGGACGGCGTTGCGCTCTTCCGGTTCCGGGCCGAAGGAAGCCAGCTCCCGGAGATCGCTGAGCACGGCCTCCGCGGTGGCGTAGCGCTCGGAAACCTGGGGCGCCAGCGCCTTCGCGACTACGGCGTCGAGGTCTTGCGACACCGCCGGGTTGTGTTTTCGGGGATGGTTGTTGCCCCCGGTTTCAACCAGCACTCGTTGGCGTTGTGGGTCGGCGTCCCGATAGGGGAGCGCGCCGGTGAGCATCTGGTAAAGGACGACCCCGACCGCATAGACATCGGACGCGAATACTGCTTCGGCCTGGAACTGCTCCGGCGCCAGGTAGTAGGGATTCCCGATCTGGAGCGCGTCATGCTCGGCAACGTGGACGGTGCGGGCCATTCCGAAGTCCGTGATCTTGGCCACGTCGCCGGAGAGCAGGATGTTGTCGGCGCTGATGTCGCCGTGAAGCAGGTTCCGCTCATGGGCATGGGCCAAACCGGCAAGTACCTGCCGGGCAATCCGGATGGCGACGGCTGTGGAGATCGCCGTCTCGTTCTCCAGGCGGCGCGCCAGTGAGGCGCCCTCCACCCATTCCATGACCACGAACAGCGTGTCCTCGTGCTCGTCGCAGGCCGTCAGACGGACGATGTTGGGGTGTTCCAGGGTGGCCAGCAGCCGGGATTCACGCAGGATCGCTTCGCGCCCTGCTGGGGTTTGGTCGTGGGGAACCTTGACGGCCCGTAGCCGGTCGAGGAAGACGTCCCGGACGAGATAGACGGCTCCGAACGTACCGCGGCCGATGCTTCGCTGGATCTCGTAGTTTCCGATCCGCTGTCCGAGGAGGAACATCGAGTCCGATGCTAGCAACCTGTGGTGGAACCCGGGTGAGCGCCGAGGCCGGCGAGGCGCCCGGCTGACAAGGCGCGTGAGGGAGGAGCCCCCACCGGGAGAACTGGCCCGAGTGTATTTCGACCGAAACGCAACGATGAGCGGCGCCAGCGACGCGGTGAACAGCCGGTGGTGGAACCCGCGTGAGCGCCGAGGCCGGTGAGGCGCCCGGCTGACAAGGCGCGTGAGGAAGGAGCCCCCACCGGGAGAACTGGCCCGAGTGTATTCCGACCGAAACTCAACGATGAGCGGCGCGAAGCGACGCGGTTCAGCCGGGATGGATCGCCGGCCGAGCCCCCACCGGGAGAACTGGGCCGCGTGGGTTTCATCACCGGCTGTTTGGCCGGGATGGATCGCCGGCCGAGCCCCCACCGGGAGAACTGGGCCGCCTGGGTTTCACCACAGGCTGCTAACCCGCACTCCGCGTTGCGGCGGGTTCGCAAAGCGCCTGGGCCGTCACGTGCCAACCGTGCGATCGCACCAGCGCGGCCGCCGCCACGACCGCGGCGGTCCCGGTGCGCAGGATGCGTTCTCCGAGGTCGAGGCGCCGGAACCCGTGCCGGCAGGCGTCCTCGAGTTCCCCGGCTGAGAAGCCCCCCTCGGGGCCGATGGCGAGCACCCGGTCCCTTGCCGGTGCGGGATTCGGAACGGCGGAGGAAGTCTCGACTGCGGAAGGCGGCGAGGCGATCCAGCGCTCTTCGGGCAGCGGACCCCGGATCCAGTTTTCGAACGGAGCCGGTGCGCTGACTGCGGGAACGGTCGCCCGACCGGACTGGCGGGTCCCCGCGAGGGCGGCTGCGCGCCAACGCTCGACCCGGGCAGGGGAGGCGCTCCCTTCCGAACGGTCGGTCTCGAGCGGGGTGATCGAGGCTGCTCCGATCTCCGCGAGCTGCCGCACGATCCCGGTCAGGCCGTCCCCTTTGGGAACAGCAACGCCCACGGCGAGGCGGATGACGGGTTCCCTGGTGGCCAGCGCCTCACCGCGCCGGAGGAGGCAGCGGCCTTCCTGATCGGCTCGGAGGAATTGCGCCGCGAAGGCGCTGCCAACCCCGTCGAAGACTTCCACCGCCGCGCCCGGGGGCAAGCGGAGAACGCGCAGCAGGTGGTGCGATTCCGAGGCGGCGAGCCGGAGTTCGGAACTGCCGGCCGCTTCGGGAGCGAGGAAGCGGCGCGCGGCGGCCATGCTAGAAGTCTGTGGCGGCGGCCTGGTCGTCCGGCGCACAACGTCCGCTCTCTCGGCGCTCCAGCACCGCCGCGACCCAGGTGTCGGTTTCGGGGTGTTCGGGTAGTTCCATTCGGATCTCCGCCAACCTGACCGATTGTCCGGGGAAGGCGCCCAATACGCGGGACGCCTCTTCACGGAGGAATCCCGAGATGAGAATCCGGCCTCGCGACCGCAGATGGGGCGCGGCGAAACTCCAAAAATCCGTCAGGGGTTTGGCCGACAGGTTGGCGAGGATTACATCGAAGCCGCAAGGAGCCAGCGGGTGTAGATCGGCCGCCAGGTCCGGATCCCGATAGTCTCCGGTACGGAACTCGATCCTGCCAACCAGGCTGTTCGCTACCGCGGCTTCTTCCGCAGAGCGAATCGCCGTGGGGTCCTGGTCGAGGCCCACAACCGTCCTGGCTCCGAGCAGCGCGGCCGCGACGGCAAGAATTCCCGACCCGGTCCCGATGTCGAGAACGCGCGCCGGCGACCGGCGGGCGCCGAGGTGTTCTTCGAGCGATTCCAGAACCATTCGGGTCGTGGCGTGGACTCCGGTGCCGAAGGCCAGTCCGGGTGTGAGAAGGAGAGACCGGAATCCGGACACCGCCGGAATGTGGGGTGGGTGAATGAAGAATCCAGCCGCCCGCACCCCGGAAAAAAGCTCGCGATATCGTGCCGTCCAGTCGCGTGCCGGTTCGGGAGGCGCATGCCGGACGGTGACGCCGGGCAGCGGGAATCCGGATTCTCGCGCGGCGGCGGCTGGCCTTTTGGACTCGACCAGCGCGTCGAGACGAGCCGCCAGCCGTCGCCGGGCGCCCGCCGAGCCGAACCAGAGCCGCACCCGATCGCCCGTTGCCGACGTTTCCGCGGCGCCGAGGAACTCGCTCTCGTCCACGACGAGCCCTTCCCAGCCGGTAAGCGGGCCGGGCCCGTGCAGATCGAGCGGGTACGTCGGCCGTCTTCCGACGCCATTTTCTGCCGGTCGATGCCGCCGGGCTGCGGTCCGCCCCGGGTCGGTGGCTGAAAGGCCAGGACGAGCAGCCGGTGGACGAAGTCTCGCGGCCCGGTTCTCCCGGTGGGGGCGCGAGCCGCGATCCCCAGTTCTCCCGGTGGGGGCCCCGGCTGAAACACTCCGCTGCGCGTCGTTCATCGTTGCGCTTCGGTCGAAATACACCCGGGCTAGTTCTCCCGGCGGGGGCTCGTCCCTCGCGCGCCTTGTCAGCCGGGCCCCCACCGGGAGAACTGGCCCCACCGGGAGAACTGGGCCTCGCCCCCACCGGGAGAATTGGCGCTCTCGGCGCTCACGCCACTTTATCCACAGGCTGCCAGCCGTAGAACCCCGTCACGAAAAGATCCGGTCGAAGAATGACGAGCGGGACTTTCCTGAACTATCGGCGGAGCGGTCGCCAGTCGCTCCGGCCCCCCGCTCGCGGCCAGCCTCGCCGGGGCGACGCGAATTCGCGTCGCGGTCGCCGGAGGAACGCACGGAGGACGCGTCGAACTCCTCGGACAGGGTGACCACCGCGCCCCGCGCCCGGCCGCTCAGCTTCCTTGGCACTTCCACCAGAACGCGGACCAGGTGATTGCCACGGCTTCGACCCCGGAGTGCGGGGAAACCCTTGCTTCGCAAGCGGAGGATCGTGTGCGGCTGCGTGCCGGGTGGGATCCGAAGGGTTTCCTCTCCCCAGATGGTCGCGATCGAGATTTCGGTGCCGAGCACCGCCTGGGGAAAAGTGATCGTCGCCTCGCTGAGAACGTCGTCGTCCTCCCGCCGCATGCCGCGAGCGGGCCGGACGTGGACGCGAACGTAGAGATCTCCGGGTGGTCCACCGTGGGCTCCCGGTTCTCCTTCGCCCGAGACGCGAAGCTGGTTTCCGTCAGCAATCCCCGCGGGGAGCGGCACGGTGATCTCCCGCTCCCGCGGAGTTCTTCCGGCGCCCGCGCACTCCCCGCAGGGGTCGCGCACGATCTTTCCCGTTCCACCACAGCCGGAACAGGTCCGGCTCATCACCATGAAGCCGCGGGAAAAGGTTTCCTGCCCGCGCCCGCCGCACCGTCCACAGAGGATTGGCTGCTTGCCTGCTGCGACTCCGCTCCCGCGACAGGAATCGCAGGGCTCCGAGCGGGAAACGAGGATTCGCTTGCGGCTCTCTTGCTTGGGTTCGCTGAAGTCGATGTTCAGTTCGTACTGGATGTCGCGCCCGCGCGCGGGACCTCGCGGGTTCCCGCCGCCGAACATCTCGCCGAACAGGTCGAAGACGCTGCCCCGGAATAGATCCTGGAAGTCCGCAAAAACCTCGCTGTTCACCGTCTGTCCGACGCCGCCGACGCCGGCATGGCCGAAACGGTCGTAGCGGGACCTTTTCTCGGCATCGCCCAGGACGCCGTACGCCTCGGATGCCTGCTTGAACTGCTCCTCGGCGGATTTGTCGTCCGGGTTGCGGTCGGGGTGATGACGGATCGCGAGCTTGCGATAGGCCTTCTTGATGTCCTCCGGATTCGCGTCCCGGGTCACGCCGAGAACTTCGTAGTAATCGCGCTGGGCGGTGGCTGGCATGGAGTCGTTCAGGCGGGCTGTGGTTCGGTCGCGGATCCCTGCGGCGCCGGTTCTGTCGCCGACCCGCCGTCGTCTCCGTCTGCGCCTTCGTCCGCTTCTTCGGGGTCGTCCGGTCGCTCAGCGGATGCCGCGGCGACGATCACGGTGACCGGGCGGATCACCCGGCCGTCAAGGAGGTAGCCCCGGCGGAGCCCTCAGCCACCTCGCCCTCGCGCTGTCCCGGCCCGGCAGGGATCTCCTGAACGGCCTCGTGGAGCCGCGGATCGAACGACGCGCCCCGCGCTTCAATCTCAAGCAATCCCTGGCGTTTCAGAGTGTCCTGGAACCGGCGCAGAACCAACCGGATCCCTTGGTGCAGCCCCTTGACCACCGTCTCCGACGGATCGCCGCCGCCGTCCTCTTCCCAGCGTACGGTCGTTTTCTCCACTTCGGTGACGGCGCGGTGGAGATCGTCCAGCACTGGCAACAGGGCGGAGCAGATCTCTGCGGTAGCGCGGGACCGGAACTCGGCACGCTCGTTTTGGGAGCGCCGGCGGACGTTTGCGAGGTCGGCCTGCGCCCGACGGGCGAGATCCTTGGCATCGGCCAGTTCCTGGTTCAGGGCGGTGACCCGGTCTCGCAGGTCGTCGATCTCGGTGGAACCGCCCCCTTCCGGAGACTCCGGCGGATCCGCGGGATTTTCGGGGGCGGCGCCATTCGCCCCGCGGGCTTCCGCAAGCGGCTCGGGTGGTTCTCCCTGCGAGGAATCGTTCATCAATTGCTCCTGAATACCGGTTGGAAACCAGCCAATCAGACTAGCACGGAGCCCCGAATTTTCGGCAGAATGATGCCTCGAGCGCGCTGGCCACCGCTCCCACGCGGGGCGGCGCGTCCGCTTGCCCGATAGCGGGGAGTTCACTCAGGCCGACCCCTCCGATAGGTGACTCGGGGGGAAGCCCTGCCAGGGCGTTGGTGAGGGCTCGGTCCACCGTCCAGGGAATCGAGCCGTGCTGCAAAAAGGCGCCCCGCCGCCACCGTTGGGCCCCGGCAACCAGCTTCCGTCCACAAGCGGTGATCTCGTGGCCGGTGGCAACGGCGTGGCATGGAAGCCTGGGGGCCGCAGATTCGCGGGGCAGGGAGCCGGGGGGCATCGGATCGAGCCGCGCGAAGCCGGCGAGCGCCTCGGCGATGGCCCCCATCACCCGAAAATAGGCGGCCCGGACCCCCGGCGCCAGGCCTCTGGGCGCCGCGAACGCGTAGGTGAGTTCGTCCGGCAGATGGAGGAGTGCCCGGCCGCCGGTCGGGCGGCGAACCCAGGGAATGTCCCGTCTGGCCAGCGCCGCCGGGTCCGTGGCGCTCTCGAGCGACTGCGCATGCCCCAGTGACAGGGTGGGTCGGGACCAACGATAGAGACGAAGAGTTGGAGGCGCCCCGCGCGCGGCCTCCTCCAGCAGCTCGTGATCGCGCCGCATGTTGGTCGCCCCATCGGCAGGGGTTTCCCAATCCGCAAACCGCCGCAGCCCGCCTCCTCTCTGGGAAGCGCCGGCTGTCACGCCCTTAACAGCCTGTGGCAAAACCCACACGGCGTTCGACCGGCGATGCATCCCGCCCGAACCACTCCGCTTCGCCCCCCCACCGGGAGAACTGGCGTTCTGCGTTGCGTTTCGGTCGAAATACACCCGGGCCGGTTCTCCCGGTGGGGGCTCGTCCCTCACGCGCCTTGTCAGCCGGGCGCCTCGCCCCCACCGGGAGAACTGGCCGCTCTCGGCGCTCACCCGGGTTCCACCACAGGCTGTTAAAGCGCCCCGCACGCACACAAACCGCCAGATTCGGCGCGCGGGACGTCCTGGGGCTCCTGCGGGGTGCTTTCACCACGGGCTGCCGATCAGGCGATCAGTTCTTCGAGTGGCTGGTAGTCCCGACCCTGCGACTCCGCGACCGGGCGGCAGGTGAGGCGGCCGGCGTACGTGTTCACGCCAGGGCGAAGGCAACTGTCCCGGCGAACGGCCTCCTCGAAGCCGTAGTTGGCGATCGTGACGGCATACTCGAGGGTTACGTTGGTGAGCGCGTAGGTGGAGGTGCGGGGCATCGCGCCCGGCATGTTGGCGACGCAGTAGTGGACCACTCCATCCACCACATAGGTGGGTTTCGAATGTGTCGTAGGGCGGGTGGTCTCGCAGCAACCGCCCTGATCCACGGCGACGTCCACGATCACCCCCCCTTCGCGCATTCCGGCGACCATTTCGCGGGTGACGACACGGGGAGCGGCGGCGCCGGGAACGAGGACCGCCCCGACGACCAGATCTGCCTCGGCGATCGACGCGGCGAGGGTGACGGCGCTTGATTTGAGAGTCGTCACCCGGCTTCCGAAAATGTCGTCCAGATAGCGCATGCGGCCGGCGCTCTTTTCCAAAACGGTGACCTCAGCGCCGATCCCGACCGCGAGTTTCGCCGCGTTCAGCCCCACAACTCCACCGCCGACGATGACGGTCCGGCCGCGGGGCACTCCCGGAACCCCACCGAGGAGAATCCCCGAGCCGCCGCAGGACCGGTGCAGATGGTGGGCTCCTTCCTGAATCGCCATGCGGCCCGCAACCTCGCTCATCGGAGTCAGGAGCGGCAAGGTTCCGTCGGGGGCCGTGATGGTCTCGTAGGCGACCGCGGTGACTCCCCGGGAAAGAAGCCCCTCGGTCAGCTCGGGGAGCGGCGCCAGGTGGAGATAGGTGTAGAGAATCTGGCCTTCTCGAAGGAGTTCCACTTCCTCGGGCTGGACTTCCTTCACCTTGATCAACAGATCGCAGGTGCCGAAAACCTCTTCGCGGGTTTCGACGATTCGCGCGCCCGCGGCGGCAAATTCCTCGTCGGAGATCAAACTGCCACTGCCGGCCCCCGACTCGACGAGCACCTCGTGACCGGCGGCCACCAAGGTGTCGACTCCTCCCGGGACCAGACCGACGCGGTTCTCGCTGTCCTTGATCTCCCGGACGGTGCCGATCCTCACGAAGTGTCCTCGTTTGTCACGGGGTTCGTCTCGGGAGCTGTCTCCGACTTCGTCTCGGTCTTGGCGCGAGTCCGGACGGTTCCCTCGAAGGTGGCCCCCGCCTGCACGACCACCGTCGCAGCCAGGATCGCTCCCGTGAGGACACCCGACGCGCCGATTTCCGCCTTTTCGATCGCTTCTACGTTGCCCGAGACCCGGCCAAGGATGGCCACGTTCCGGGCCACGATGTCGGCCTCTACCTGACCACCCTCCGGAATCAGCACCGAGGCGGTGCTTTCCACGGTGCCCTTGAGACGTCCCTGGATACAGATGTCCTCCCGGGTCGTGATCTTGCCCTCGACGAAGGTGTCCGGGCCGATCCAGGTCGAGCGGGCGCCCCGTTCGGGAGGAGAAGGAGGCACTTCGGTCAGAAAAGTCTCGCTTTCATTGTTGCGACGGAAAATGGCCATAGGACGAAGCGGAACCGGAAAATAAAATGGAGCGGGCGACGGGGCTCGAACCCGCGACGCCGAGCTTGGGAAGCTCGTACTCTGCCAACTGAGATACGCCCGCCCGGGGGCCGGTGATTCTACTCGGCGAATGCCCCTTCCGGAGAAGTGGGACTTGCCGCTGCTCGTTCCCGGGCCTCGTCCAGCAGGGACAGGAGTTCATCCCGGCGCCGTTCGGCAAGTCCCGCGCGGTAGGCCTCCAGGGTCAGCCTCATTACGGGTTCCGTGTTGGAGGGCCGCAGAGTGAATCGCCAGTCGGAAAAGTCCATCGTGAGTCCATCCAGCCGGTTCACCTTGCCGCCCGGAAAGGCTTCCCGCACCATGTCGAAGGCCATCGCCTGGTCGGGCACCACCCGGCTCTCTTCGTCGACGGTGAAATAGCGGCGTCGCAGTTCGCTCGCCAGACTCGAGAGAGACCTGCCCGAGTCCCGGATCCGTTCGATCATGAGCAGGATGGGCAGGAGGGCATTGTCGGCATACCCGGCGGCCCGGAAGAAGAAATGACCGCTCAGCTCGCCCCCGAATCTGGCGTCCTCCTGCCGCATGCGTCGCTTCAGATAGGCATGTCCCACCCGGCCCGCGCAGGGGATTCCGCCGGCCTGGGTCACGGTATCCGGCACCGCGCGCGATGACCGCAGGTCGAACACGATTCTGGCGCCGGGTTCCTTGGTGATCTCGGCCGTGGCCAGCAGCGCCGTCGCGAAGTCACCCGGAATGTGAAATCCCTGATCGTCGACGAACACGCAGCGGTCGGCATCGCCGTCCCAGAGGACCCCGAAGTCGGCGCCTTCCTCGAGGACGCGGCGCACGAGGGGTTGTCGGTTCTCGGGGTCGAGAGGGTTGGCGCCCCGGTTCGGGAAGGAGCCGTCGGGCCGGAACTGCACCGCCAGGAACTGTCCGGGGACTCTCGAGAACACCTCGGCCGCCATCAGTCCTCCCATGCCGTTGCCGGCGTCGAGCACCACGCGGAGCGCCGGCAGGGAGCGAAAGCTGACGACGCTGTTCAAAAACGCCCGATAGTCGGATGCGATCTCAAGGGGAGGGCGGTCCATGGTCGAAGGCGGCGGGCCGGGCGGGAAATCGATCGGCGGATCGGAGAATTCGCCGGCCAGGCGGCGCACTTCCGGCAAGCCGTTCTCGTGGAAGACAGGTGCGGCGTCGCGTTCGACGAGTTTGATCCCGTTGTCGCCGGGAGGGTTATGGGAGGCGGTGATCACCGCACCCCCGTCGAGGCCGTCGCGGCGGACAGCGAACCACATCGCGTCGGTCGGCAACATCCCGTAGTCGAGGATCTCGACGCCCGGCATCTGAAGACCCGCGGCGAACGCCCGGGCCAGCGCCGGACTCGTGAGTCGCGCGTCCCGGGCCATGCCGATCCGTCCCCCCCCGAGCCAGGTAGCGAACGCCCGGCCGACGCGCCACGCCAGCGCGGGAGAGAGCGGCGCCGGGGCCGCCCCCCGGACATCGTAGGCCTTGAAGAGGCCCGCTTCCTCCGCAGTCAGTCCGTGGGCCATGGCACGGTGCTGTGCGCAGCGATGGTGCTCTTGTCGCCGAGGACCGCGCCCGACAGGCGCACTCCCGGGCCTACGAAACTGCTGACGCCCAATATGGATCCCGAAACGTCGGCTTCTTCACTGATGCGGGTGTCGGCCCAGAGGATCGAATCCATTACGCGGGCGTTCGCCTCGACCCTCACCCGGCGTCCGAGTACCGCGTAGGGACCAATCTCGGCGTCTTCGCGCACCTGGGCCTCGGGGCCCACGAGCGCCGGCCCGAGCAGGCGAGCGCGGGGATGGACCGAAGCAGTCCCGTCCACGATGACCCCTCCCGGGTTGGGGCGTCCCACCCCCGGGATTCGAATCTTGCCGTCAAGGGCGTCGTGGTGCGCTTGGCGGTAACGGTCGAGCACTCCGATATCGGTGAAATATCCCCCGTGTCGGTGCGCGGCAACCCGGCGGCCCGCGGCTACCACGGCCGGGAAGACCTCGTGCTCCAGCGAGCAGCGCCCCTGGTCCGGCAAGAACTCGAAGATCTCCGGATCCATCACGTAGGCGCCGACACTGATCTCGCCCGGCGCGGCAACGCCCGGCTTTTCGATGAAGTCGACAACCCGGGGCGGCTCGCCGTCCTCGCCGCCTGCGGTCCGGACCACACCGTATTGAGACGCGTCCGCTACCGGGCTGAGGGCAAGGGTGAGCGTGGCACGCGCCGATTCATGGGTCCGGATCAGAGAAGCTATGTCGAGGTCGGTAAGCGCGTCGCCGTTGAGACAGACGAATGGTTCGGCAAGCAAGGACCGTGCGTTTCCGACAGCTCCTCCGGTGCCGAGCGGCTTCGGCTCTACCGAGTAGCGGAGCGAGATCCCGAACGCATTTCCGTCACCGAAGGTGGCCTCGATCCGCCGGGGCAGCGAGGCGAGGCACAGGACGACATCGGTGACACCCGCCTGGCGGAGCAACTCGAACTGCGTGACGAGGAAAGGCCGCGTGAGGAGAGGGACAATGGCCTTCGGACGGCCGAAAGTAAGGGGGCGGAGCCGCAGCGCCTTTCCCCCAATCAGAATGACCGCCTTCATCGAACAGCCGGACAGGGTACTCGCTGGCAGTCGTCACCGGCGTCTGGATGGCGGGTCCCCCGGCCGCGGCTGATAGCATCCGTGCACCGCGCCACGGGCGCGGAGAGCATCTTCGAACGTGTGCCCGAGGTGAGCGTGGCGAACCGTCTTACGTTGCTGCGGATGCTGCTGACGCCGTTCGTGGCAGTGGCGCTCCTCGCCTCCTTTCCGGGCTGGCAACTCGTCAGCGCAACCCTGGTGGCTGGCGCGGCTCTTACCGATCTGCTCGACGGGCACATCGCCCGCCGCCGGAACCAGATCACTGCGCTCGGGACCCTCCTCGATCCGATCGCCGACAAGTTCTTCATTTCCACGATCTTCATTTGCCTGGTGGATCGGGGGCTGTGTCCGGCATGGGTGGCGATCGTGATCGTGGGCCGCGAATTCGCGGTGACGGCGTTACGCATGGTGGCACTCCAACGGGGCGCAAGCGTGCCGGTCAGCCTTCTCGGAAAAATCAAGATGCACGCGCAGGTGTACGCCGCACTGCTGGTTCTGCTGGGGGCGCTCTATCCTGCTCTGGCGCCCTTCGGGGTCGCAGGTCTCTGGGCCGCGGCCGTGCTGACGGCATGGTCCGGTTTCTCCTACTTCCTCGGAGCGAGGAGAGTCGCGCTCTCTGGCTGACCAACCGGTTGGCGCGCGGCGGACCGCGGCCCGCCGTCTGGTTCGCGCCTTGCCGGATGTTTTTGTCGGAGCCGACGCGGCCGCGACGCTTGATGGACGGCGCGGATTCCTCTACGGCGAGAAGCGGCACCGGCAAGTCGACATCGTGGGGTTCGAACCGGCAGTAGACCGTACGTCCGGGACCGTGACGCTCGAGACGCTCGTGGAACGGCGGTTGGACCGGTCGGCGATTAGCGGATGGCGCATCGTGGGGGTGGCGGTATGCCCGGCGGACCTCGAAATTGGGCAGGAGGCGTTGCTTGCGGGTCTCGTTGCCGGCGACATCGTGCTCGCTGCGCAGCGCGCGCCGGAAGCCGCTTGCCGCGAAACAGCCCGCTCCCGGAAGGGAGGAATGAGGATACTGGTCCACCGGGGGGATTCCCTGGCGGACATCAAGGCCACGCCGCCGTGCGGTTTCTGAACGCCGCTGCGCCTTTCGAAAGAACTGGGGATCGCGATTTATTGGGAGGTCCGGTTATTGGGAGGTTTTGGCGAGGATCTCGCGAATCCGCTCTCGGGCCACTTCTGTGTATGGGCTGTCCGCGTGTTCTTCCACGATTTTCTGGTAGTGGACCAGAGCCTCCTGCTCCCGACCGCACTCGGTGAGCGCCTGCCCCAACCGGTGGCGGACCTCTGCGAGGCGGCCGAAGTTGGGGTAGTTCGCCAGAATCTCTTCGAGTCGGGGGATGGCGCCCCGGCACCAACCGCGCTGGTCCTGGTAGAACTCGGCCTTCAGAAGTACGGAGGTGGCCAGGTCGTTGTGGCAATCGGTGAGATGGACGCGCGCTTCCTCGGCGTATCGGGAGTTGGGATACAGCTCAAGCAGCTTCTCGAACTCGGTTGACGCGAGGCGGGTGTCTTCCTGATCCCGATCGGCGCTGCGCCGCCGCCTGAAGTGCCCAAAAGCGATCTGGAACTGGGCGTAGTCGGCTCTCGGGTGGTTCGGGAAGAACGTCAGATAGTCCCGGTACTCGGTAGCGGCAAGCAAGGCGTTTTGGGCCCCGCGCTGGTTGTTATAGGTGTCCGCGATTCCCAGTCTGGCGTCCCCGGCGAACTGACTGCGAGGATAACTGTCGAGCAATTGACGGAACCACGTACGGGCCGTCTCCCAATTGCGGTCCTCAAGACTTTGCTGACCGAGCGCGAGGAGCCGTCGATCAGCCTGCGCTCCGGTAGGCACTTCCGCCGTCGAGCGGGAACTACAGGCGAGGCCGAACACTACGGCGGCTAGCGCCAAAGCGAGGCCCAGAAGGCGTCGATTTGCGAGGACGGCGGCGTCGGGGGGGGGCATGCAGGGGAGCGGCGGATGCCGCGGCTCACGAAATGCTAGCGTCTGGCTGGCGCCTATTCACAGGTTGGGAGCAGCCGGTGGCTGAAGTGGGGTGACCGCCGAGAGCGGAGCCCCTCCGGGAGAAGTGGGCCGCGTCACTGTGTTCATGGGCTGGAGAGCGCTCCGCGGACCGATTGGGGCAGGCGGCGCGCCCGCCCGGCCGTCCCAACCGTCGCATGCCGCGTTTCGGCAGTGGCGACCAGCGTCCCATCGGAAGGGCGCAGGATTCGATAGGCAAAGCCGATACCCGACCGACGGTAGGGGAACGCCTGGGCCTCCACGATCAGCTCGTCGTCGTAGCGGACCGGCCGCAGGTAGCGGCACCGCACTTCGATCACCGGAAAGTGAAAGCCGCTCGCCTCCAGCTCGCGGTAGGGCAGCGCGTGTTTCCGCAACCAACTGGTCCGCGCTACCTCAAGCCAGGGGAGGTAGGCGCCGTGGTAGCCCACCCTCATCTGATCGGTCTCGGCATAGCGGACGCGGATCGAAACCTGAGTGGCGTCGGCGGGAGGAGAGGTCACGGCTGCCAGAGCCGGCGAATCGTCCGGAGAGGTCAAGTCTGGAGATGTTAAGGGCGATGGCCCGTCGGCCCGGCGAAGACTCCGGCGCCTCGGCCGGTTGCCGAAAGATCGGGCCGCACGGGGGTTCCGGCGCTGGCGAGCCGAAGCATCACGCGGCGAGCATCTCCCGGACGGCCGCCGCCGGGTCGGCGGCGCCGAACACGGCCGATCCCGCCACCACCACGTCCGCTCCGGCGTCGCGCGCCGCCGCGATCCGGGAAGCGTTGATGCCTCCGTCGATCACGATCTCGAGCGACGGGTTCGTCCGCTCGGCGATTTTGCGAACCTGGCGGACGCGGTCCATGCTTCCCTCGATGAAGCGCTGGCCTCCCCAGCCGGGATTGACCGACATGACGATCGCGTAGTCCACCGCGGCGAGCGCTTCTTCAAGGGACGCGAGCGGCGAAAGGGGATTGATCGCCAGTCCGGGCCGAACTGCGAGGGCTCGGAGATCGGCAATCGTCTTGTGGAGATGCGGCACGGCTTCCGGGTGCACCGCGATCGCGTCTGCGCCCGCTTCCGCGTAGGCCCTGATGTGTTCCGGGGCGTTTCCGATCATGAGGTGAGCGTCAAGCGGCAGATCTGTGCAGCGCCTCACCGCCGCCACCACGATGGGCCCGAACGTCAGGTTGGGTACGTAGTGCCCGTCCATGACGTCGAGATGCAGCCCGTGTGCTCCAGCCTCCTCGACTGTCCGCACCTCCTCCGCGAGACGCGTGAAGTCAGCGGAGAGAAGCGAGGGCGTGAGCCGCATCCGGTTGAACCTATCGACTGAGGGTGAGGACGATCCGATCGGTGCGACTTACCTTTGCGCCGGCCGCGGGTACCTGATCGACGACGATCCCGGCCGGAACACCCCGGTACGGGACGCTCCGCACATCGCGTACCCGGACCGCGCCTCGGCTCAGGTCATCCGCGATGTCTCCGTACCGCCGTCCGATGAAATCCGGCATTACGAACGATTCGGGTTCCGACCCCGCCGAGAGCAGCACCGACACCGAGGTCTCGGGGACGGTTTCAGTGTAGGCCACGGGAGACTGGGCAATGACCCGACCGGCGAGATAGGTGTCGCTTTCCACCTCGGCGACCCGCCCCACAGTTAGCTCGGCGGCTTCGATCTGGCGCCGGGCCTCGGTCAGGGTGCTGCCCTCAAGCCGCGGAACCACCCGGCGGGTCGGCCCGAGGCTGCGGAATACCTGGACGGAACGCCCACGTTTGAAGAAAGAACCGGGCGGCGGTTTCTGGAAGACGATGCGGCCTTCGGGAATCTGATCGTCGAACCGCGCCTGCCCCACCGCGAGGCGAAGGCCCACTCCGCCGAGCAAGGCTTCGGCGGCCTCGAGTTCGAGGCTCGTGAGATCCGGAACGGCCGGATCTGCGGCTGAGGAGGCGATCAGGAAGGTGGCGGTGGCCGCAAAAGCGAACGTTGCCCCCAACAGGGCCGCGGTCACCAGGTAGTAGAGGCCCCGCGAAAGTCGTGATGCCGAACGCCCGCCTCGCCGGTTCCAGCGAATTCGAAAGGTGCCCATGGGCCAAATACGTGTCCGGAAGTGTAGTGCCGGGTGGGGTCTCAGGAGAGTCGATTGCTACGGTCTGGCGCGCCGGCAAAACATCGCTCGCGGATGTCGACCTGACAGCCTATGGCAAAACCCACGCGGCAATCAGGGTCGAGCGGTCCCCGGACGGGGCCTTGATCTCGAATAGCTTTCGGTCGTAGTCCTGCTTGGAGTTGGGGCCCCGTCCGGGGACCGCCCGGCGCTTCGCGCCGGCAATCGAAACTCCCTTGCGCGCCTGCGGCGCGCGGCGGCGAGTTCCGATTGGTCATTGTTGATTTGTGAAAGGGGGGGGTGCCCTCCTTTCACACTTTCCCCCCGGTCACGTCGGCAGCGAACAGAGTTCGCTGCCATTGGTTTTTGCGCGCTCGGCAGTACGCCACCACACGTGAAGCGCGGGGCCCGGTTGGAACGCCGGTCGAGCGGTCCCCGGACGGGGCCTTGATCTGAATAGCTTTCGGTCGTAGTCCTGCTTGGAGTTGGGGCCCCGTCCGGGGACCGCCCGGCGCTTCGCGCCGGCCTTCCGAAGTGCGGCGAGAGCCGCACGGAGACCCCGGAGCGCCGATGGAGAAGGCCGGGGAACCAGGCCTCCCTCCATCGGCAGCTCGGGAATCGAAACTCCCTTGCGCGCCTGCGGCGCGCGGCGGCGAGTTCCGATTGGTCATTGTTGATTTGTGAAAGGGGGGGGTGCCCCCCTTTCACACTTTGCCCCCGGTCACGCGGGCAGCGAACAAAGTTCGCTGCCATTGTTTTTGCGCGCTCGGCAGTACTCCACCGCGCTTCAAGCGCGGGGACGGCTTGGAACGCCGACCTCTGGGCAGTTCTCCCGGTGGAGGCCGGCACCGCTGCGCAAAGCGCAGCGAAAGGCGTGTTCCACGCAACCGTCCGGATGACGCTGAACGCCGGGCTCCCGGCCGGAAAGGCCCCCCCGCACCGGGGGTCCTTCCCGCCGCCCGCCTTGTCAGCCGGGCGCCTCGCCCCCACCGGGAGCACTGGCCGACCCCGGCGGCGTTCGAGCGGCGATCCATCCCGGCTGAATCACTCCGCTTCGCTCCGTTCTGCGTTGCGTTTCGGTCGAAATACACCCGGTATTCCTCCCTCACGCGCCTTGTCAGCCGGACCCCCACCGGGAGAACTGGGCCTCGCCGCTCTCGGCGCTCACCCGGGTTCCACCACCGGCGGTTAAATGCTCGAGCGCTGGAGGAGCGCCGCGAAATAGCCGTCGGTCCCATGATCTTCGGGCGCCAGGCGAAGCGCCCCATCGTCGCCGACGAGCGGCTCGAGCGCCTCCGGCAGGCGATCCCTGAGAGGGATCGCTCGGAGGCCGGGGGTTTCGGCCAGCAGGTCCCGCACCGGTTCGCTCGTCTCCTCGGGCTCCAGCGAACAGGTGGCATACAGGAGCATTCCGCCGGGGGTGAGCAGGCTGGCCGCCGCCCGGGCCATCTGGAGCGCGCTCTTCCCGAGGCGCTGGAGGCGGTTCGGAGAGGCGGTCCACTTGATGTCGGGATTGCGCGACAGCGTGCCGAGGCCACTGCAGGGAACGTCCAGCAGCACCCGGTCGAAGGACCGAGCCGCGAAGGGGGGACGGGAAGCGTCGGCCACCAGGGGAAGGAGGTTGGGGGCCGAGAGCCGCCGCGCGGTATTCCGGAGGAGCTCGATGCGTGACGTTCGTACATCAGCGGCAATGAGCGGGCGGGGCCCGATGCGCTCGGCAAGGATGGTGGCCTTGCCGCCCGGCGCCGCACAGGCGTCGAAATACCGCCGGGCTCCCTCCGCGGGAAGCAACCAGGCGATGAGCTGTGACCCCGCATCCTGGATGTGAAATTCGCCTTCCTGGTGCAGTGCGGAATCCTGCGGATTTCCCTCGGTGACCTTCAGGCAGCGCGGCGCGAGTGGAAAGCGTTCGGTCCGAATGCCGTCCGCCTCCAACTGCCGCCGGACGTTGTCGAAGTCTCCCCTGAGACCTACCCGCAAGAACACGGACGGGGACCGGTTGTTGGCTTCCAGACGCCGCTTGGCGCCGTCGTTCCCGAGCTGTTTCACATAGCGGTCCACGAGCCAATCCGGGTGGGACAAGCCTGTTCGCAGGTAGAGATCGCGATCACCCCCGCGGTGCGGCCAGGGATGGTCCGCGCGCAGGTAGGCGCGGAGCACGGCATTCACGAGTCCGGCGGCGCCCGGCCGTGCGAAGGCGGCGGCGAGCGACACCGACTCGTGGACGGCCGCGCTCGCGGGCACCCGGTCGAGATACCGGAGTTGGTAGAGCCCGAGGCGGAGAGCTATCCGCACCGGAAGATCGAGTCTGCTGACCGGACGCCGCGAATACGTGTCCAGGGCGTAGTCAAGTGCTCGTCTCCAGCGCAAGACGCCGAAGACCAGTTCCCGCGCCAGTGCCCGGTCCCGATCGCTCGGAGGCCGCCCCTCGGCGTCTTCGAGGCGTGCGATCAGGGCGTCCGGGCGCGGTGGAATGGGCCGATCGGTCGTCGGTTCCAGCCGGCGGAGAACGGCAAAGGCGGCGCGGCGCGCCGGGGAAGCGGGCCGCGGCGAACCGGGAGGCGGTGTCCGGTTGCGCGTATCGGCGGTTTTGGGTGGGGATCGGGACACTTCAGCGTCGACCCGCGAGTACGCCGGAGAGGGTGGCAGGATCATCCGTGAGGATGCCGTGCACACCGAGAGCGAGCAGGCGTTCCATGTCCTCGGGCCGGTTCACCGTCCAGACGAGCACGGGAAGCCCCGCCCGGCGGGCAGCGCGCAGGAAGCGGGGGGTGACCACCCGCAACGGCCCGCTGGTTTCGCTGACCAGGAGTGCATCTGCCGCGCTGTCATGGAGACCGGCCAAGCCGCCATAGGCGAGAGCGAGGAAGGTAACGACTTCCGGAAAACCCGCGCCGGTCGCCACTTCGGGACACGCCGCGCGGAAACGCTCGAGCGATTCGCGGTCGAAAGCAGCCACCAGGGTCGGAGTTCCCGTCCCTCTTCCCGGATCGCGGCGCATAGCGGCTCCGCGGTATCGGGCGTCTTCATTTCGACGACGAAGCGGAGGTCCGGATGGGCCTCCTGAACCTCCGCGAAGGTAGGCACCGGGAGGGGGTCCTCGCGGTAAGGGAACGCCCCGCCCGGCGTTCGGAAATGGTGCCCGGCGTTCAGGCGGCGCAGTTCGTCGAGACGAAGCGAGGCGACCGGACCGCTGCCGTCGGTGGTCCGGTCCACGAGCGCGTCATGGATGACCACCAGCGCGCCGTCGGCGGTGCGCCGGACGTCCATCTCGAGGACGTCCGCCCCGGCTGCCGACGCGGCTCGAAACGCCGCCAGGGTCGCCTCGGGAGCAAGCTTGCCGCCCCCCCGGTGGGCGACGTTGCGCGCCGGCGTTCGGAAGAAGACGTGGGGTGTTTCCGGCGGACGAGAGTTGGACACGAAAAGAAGCAGTCCGTAGCCGATTCCCAGCAGGGCCAATAGCCCCAGCAGCGCCAGCGCAACGCGCCTGCAACCCATCTATTGCGCCTCCGCCAGGCGCGCCGCCTGCGCGGCTCCGAGAAAACGGCCGACGGGTGTCCCCTGCTCTCCGATCGGTGCCGCGAGGACTCTGCCGCGGAGGAAATCCTCGATGGGCATGCGCCGTCGGCCTGCCGCCTGCACGTCCAGGGGCCACAGGGTGCTGCCTTCGCCACAGGTGACCGCCAGGCGGGGAGCGCGCCGGGAACCCGCGATCCGGAAAGAGCCCGGGGTAAACCCGTTCGCCGGGGGCGTACCGATGTCGGCCGCCGCTCGGTGAATCCGGAGGAGCTCGCCCTTCCCCTCCTCCGCGTCTCCGGCAAGCGCGGTAAAGGCCACCGGGGCCGGAGAGAAGGCGCGGATACGGTTCGCCAGCGCGGGAGCTGCGAGCTCCCAATCGAGAGCTGCGTCGGCCTTTTGCACCCGCGGAGCGAAGGTCGCGTGGCCATCGTCCTGACGACGGGGGGAAAGGCGCCCGGCTGCCAGACCGGCGAGGGTCTCGATCAGGAGTTCGGCGCCCATGGGTGCAAGGCGAGCGAGGAGTTCGCCCCCGGTCTCGGATTCTCCGATTGCGGTTTCCCGCCGGAGCAGATCGGCCCGGTATCGAGGCCCGCGTCCATGAGCATGGTGGTGACCCCGGTTCGGGGGAGACCGCGGGCCACGGCCCAGATGGCCGGAGCGGCGCCGCGCAGTTCGGGGAGCAGCGAGGCGTGAACGTTGACGGCGCCGAGGTGCGGGATCGCGAGCAACCGGGCGGGAAGGATCTGGCCGTAGTCAGCGACCACGATGCCATCGGGCGTGAGGCCTGCGACGGGTTCCCATGCGCTCCGGCGGCGGATTCGTTCCGGCTGCTGGACCGGTATTCCGAGCTCCAGCGCCAACCGCTTGATCCGGCTGAGGCGCGGGCGGTGATGCCGGCCCGCGGGGCGGTCCGGCTGGGTAAACGCCGCCACGACCACATGGTGCGCGTGAAGAGCGCGCAGCACCGGTTCCGCAAAGGCGGAGGTGCCCAGGAAGACGATGCGGAGGCGTTCCACGTCTGTTCCCCCGCGCCGCCGCGGGTTACCAGTCGCCGCGACGCATGCGGCGACGCAGCTTACGAACGATGAGATCTCGTTTCAGGAGTCCGAGCCGATCCAGAAAGAGACGGCCGTTCAGGTGGTCCACTTCGTGGGCGAAGGCCCGCGCCAGCAATCCGTCGCCCTCCATCTCGTAGAACGAACCGTCGAGACGCTGCCCGCGCACTCGCACCCAACCCGGCCGCCGGGTCACGCCGGAGTACTCCGGAACCGAGAGGCAGCCCTCCTCTTCGGATTGGCTGCCCCGCGATTCGAGGATCTCCGGATTGGCCATCACGATCAGTTCGCCGTCCTTTTCCCCGACGGTGATGTCAATCACCACCAGACGCACGCCCACTCCGATCTGGGGTGCGGCGAGGCCGACACCGGGAGCCGCGTACATGGTTGCGATCATGTCGTCCGCGAGACCCTGCCAGTTCTGGTCGAAGTCCGCGATCGGTTCGGCCGGGGTAGTCAGGGGGGAAGCCCCGTAACGCAGGATCGAGCGGACAGGCAAGCGGCTGGCGATTGTAGCCCTGGAGCGCGAGGAGCGCCGGTCTTCAGACCGGCATCGCTTCCCGCAGGGAAGCGAAACTCCCTTCATCAAATCCCGCATAGCGCTGCGTCAACGAGGATGGCGCTCACACTCGTTCTTATACTCCGGGAATCGATATGGATCGGCATTCCGAAGCGCCGTCACCGCCGCCGGCGCTGGTACCGAAAACCAGGTTGGAGGCGCGGGTTGTCGGGATGCATTGCGCCGGTTGCGTGGCCAGCATCGAAAAGGCGGTGGTCAGCCTCCCCGGGGTCGAAAGCGCGGAGGTGAGCCTGCTCACGGGGGATATCGCCGTCCGGCTGTTGGGAGCCGATGCACAGGGCGCCGCGTTCGCCGCTGATGTCGCCGGGGCCGTGGAATCGGCCGGTCCCTACCGGCTGGAACCGGCCGAAGAAGCCGGCCCCGAGCAACCGGAGCGGGCAGGGAACACCGGTGGACGCTTGGGCTGGCGCGACGGACTTTTCCCCGTCGCTCTGGCCCTCGCGCTCTCCGCGGCCGCCATGGGGGTCGCGATGAGCGGCTTCGGCGGGACCACTCCGGGCCGGTGGTCGCAGTTTCTGCTCGCGACTCCGGTGTGTGTGTTGCTCGGTCGCGATTTCCTGATGGCGTTCGGGAAGGCTCTGCGACACCGGGCGTTCGGGATGGATAGCCTGATCGGGCTCGGTGCCGGAACTGCTTACGTGTCCTCCGTGGTGGCCCTGGTGGGAGCCTCGGGGAGCCCCCTGTTCTTCGATACCGCTGCGATCATCGTCGCGATCGTCCGCCTCGGACGCTGGCTCGAGGCCCGGGCCCGGGGCCGAGCCGCCGATGCGTTGGGCGAGTTGCTCGCCTTCGCCCCGGACCAGGCTCGAGTGGTGCGCCGGGGTGTCGAGCGGATGGTGCCGGTAGCCCGAATCCAACTTGGCGAACTTGTTCGGGTGCGACCCGGAGAAAGGGTGCCGCTCGATGGTCGCATCGTTCAGGGCGGGGCCGCGATGGATGAGTCGCTCGTAAGCGGCGAGAGCGTTCCCGTCGAACGGACGGCGCCCGATCCGGTGATCGCGGGAGCGATGAATCTCACGGGCGCCGTCGAGGTTGAGGTCACCCGGGTGGCTTCCGAAAGCACCATCTCGAGGATCGCCGCGTCGGTCCGGAAGGCGCAGACGGAAAAGATTCCGATGCAGCGGATCGCCGACCGGGTGGCGGGCGTGTTCGTCCCGATCGTGATGGTGGCGGCGGCCATCACGGTGGGCGGCTGGCTCTTTGCCGGGGGCGCCATGGATTTCGCCCTGGCTCGAGGCGTGGCGGTGCTGGTGGTGGCCTGTCCCTGCGCGGTAGGCCTCGCGGCGCCCATCGCGGTACTGGTGGCGACTGGCCGCAGCGCGCGGCGGGGCATTCTGTTTCGCTCCGGGGGAGCGCTCGAGGCGCTGGCTTCCGTACGGGTGGTGGGGCTCGACAAAACGGGGACGGTCACTACCGGTGCACCGGTGGTTGTCGCGGTGGAGCCGGCGCCCGGCGGAAGCGCCGAGAACCTCCTTCGACTCGCGGCCTCCGCCGAACAGGGATCCGAGCATCCCCTCGGGGTCGCGCTGGTCACCCATGCGCGCCAGGCAGGATTGGCGCTCGAGACCCCCGAGCGTTTCGAGGCTCTCCCGGGCCGCGGAGTCAGCGCGAGCTTTGGCGGCGGAACCACGGTGTGGGTCGGCAGCGATCGTTTGGTCCGGGAGCGTGGACTGCCCCTTCCGCCTGCCCCGAACGATGCGGGCGCGTCGGGCCGGCTTCGGGTGCTTCGTGAATCGGCGGGGCGCCTCGAATTCGTCGGGAGCATCGGTTTTCGGGACCGGCCGCGCTCCGAGGCGGCGGAACTTGTCCGGAGACTTGAGGCTGACGGACTGGCCGTTTCGCTGGTTTCGGGCGACGAGCCGGCCGCGGTGGCGGCGACCGGCGCCGAGATCGGCGTCCGGGATATCGAGGGGGGGCTCCTACCGGATCAGAAGCTCTTCGCCCTGGATCGCCTGAGAGATCGCTACGGCCCGGTCGCGATGGTCGGAGACGGGATCAATGACGCTCCCGCGCTTGCTCGCGCCGATGTGGGGATCGCCTTTGCCGAGGGGACCGAGATCGCCCGGGAGGCGGCGGGAGTGACTCTGATGCGCCCGGATTTGCGTCTCGTGAGTGTCGCGCTCCGGATTGCGCGCCGCGCGCTCAGAACCATCCGGCAGAACCTTTTCTGGGCCTTCTTCTACAACGTGGCCGCCGTTCCCCTCGCCGCCGGAGTTCTGTATCCGGCGACGGGACTGCTCTTGCCCCCGGAAGCGGCTGCTGCCGCAATGGCGCTCTCCTCGCTAACGGTGGTGGGAAACGCGCTGCGCCTCAAAACGGGAAACTGAGCGGCTTGCCGGGCGCGCCGGCGGATTCCCTCGAACGACGCATCACCGATGCATCACCGATGTATCACCGACGCATCAGCGGCGGACTCCCGGCTTCCAGCCCGGACCGGGAGCCAAAGCCGCCAGCAGCGAAGGTGAGGGCTGACGATCGAGCGACGTTGGCGCCGAGGCTGATGGGACTCGCTGCTTCTTGCGGTGGGCGGGGAAGGAGTCTCCGCCAGGGGGGATGATCTTGCAGGCCGCTAGCCCTGCTGGCTAGGGCCTCGGTGGGCGTCGCCCGCGAGGGCGAGGGCGCCCGCGACGCTCGCGGTCCGGTGGCTGCTCTTCGGCTGATGGCGCCCGGGCAATGACCTTCCGGGCCAGCCCTTCGATCTGCCTTACGGTTTCCACCGTGGGGTCGGCGAGCGCCGGACCCGCGGCGCGGGCTCGTTCCAGAATCTGGGTCGCCGCCCGTCCATCTTCCCGAAGGACGGCGCCGCGGTCCGCCGCCCGTCCCGCCTGCAGAGTGCGTTGCAGGTGCTCCACAATGCCGACGACTCCGGCGTCCGACGGCGCGGAGGCGCGAGGTGCCGCCAGCGCCTCGATCGCTTCCAGCAAGCCTGCCAGCCGCGCGGCGAGTTGCTCCTGATCCAGGCGGGTGCCGGCGAAGGTCTCGGGATCCTCTTCGAAGGTCTCCCGAAGAACGTCGAGCAGTGCGCGGTCGGTTTCCCGGGCCAACCGGTCGGTGGACCGGGTAATCCGCCGATAGTCATCCCAAAGCGAAATCGCGGCGTCGCGCCGCTCTCCGGCCGGTTGGGCGGCCAGTTCCGCGATGCGCGTGCGGAGGTCGGCTTCCGCTTCACTCGGCGGAGAGTGTTCCTGGGCGCCGCTGGGGCCCGAGTGGGTGTTTTCCGGTTTCTCCCGGAGGCGATCCCGCGCGGTATCGCAGGCGCTTCGGAATTCGTCCCAGAGGCGCTCGCTTTCCTTGCGCGGGACGGGCGGCGACTCCTTCCACTCCCGCATCAGGTCACGCACCGCATCGCGCACCGCGGCGGCGTCCGTTTGCTCGAAGAGCGCCCGGGCGCGGCCGATCAGTTCCTCCCGGACCGGAATGTTCGCGGCGAACTCTTCGTACCGTTTCTTCCCCAGTACCTTGAGTTCGGTGAAATATCGGTCGTTGGCAGCGCGAAACCGCTTCCACAAGCGTTCGGAGCGTTTTCCGAGTCCCCGGGCGTGCTCTCGCCAGGCGGGCATCAGGGCGCGCATCTCGGCGGCTTGGCGCGGATCCTTGCCGTCGGCGATTTCCTCCGCCTTTTCCGCGAGCGTCCGGAGCCCCTCCAACTGCTGGGCCAGTTCGCGCTCGGCGGCTTCGCGCAACGGGCCGACGCGCTCGAGCAGCGTTGCGCGGATCTTCCCCCATTCTTCCCAGAGTTCCTGACCCCGGTCGCGTCCCGTGTGCCGGGCCTGGTGCCACGCGCGTTCGAGAGCCGTGAGTTCCCGCTCCACGCGCTGGAGGTCGTCGTCTTCCCGGAGCGCCTGGGCTCGGCGAATGAGGGCCGACTGCTCTTCAAGATTCGACCAGTGACGCCATTCCCGAATCTCCCGCGCCTCCCGCAGCCTCGGGATGAGTGCGGCCTGGGAGCGCTGAAAACGTGCCTGCCGCTCGGGCCCGGCCTGCCGCCAGAGAGACGCGTTGCCGCGGAGGCCGCCGAGTTCGCGAAGCACCGCCTCACCTTCCTCGAGTGGGAAAGATTCGGATGACTCCAGCGCCCCGAGTCGCTCCTCGAGGGCGGCAATCCGCTCGTCCGACTGTCGGAGCTGGTCCTTTCGTTTCGCGTCGGCGCTGCTGAGCGCGGTCTCTACGTCGCGGGCAGCGTTGCGGAACCGCTCGGTGTCCGGTGTCTCCGCTGGTTCCAGACGCTCGAACCGGCGCACGAGACGCGTCAGTTCGCGGCGAGCCTGCACGAGTTCCGCGCCGGAACGGGGGTTCTCGAGTGACTTCGCCAGCAGTGCGGCGTGGTCCGCCAGCTCGACTGTCTCGAATTCCCGAATTCGGGCTTTCTTTCGCTTGAGCGCCCGTTCCCGGGCGCCGTCCGCCGCCGCTCGGAGCCGGGAGCGAGCGGCGCCGGCGCGCGTAATCCCTTCGAGCAGGCGGTGGCATTCCCGCTCGGCAGAGTCCACGTCGTCCAGGCTCAGGCCGGCCCCCGGATCTTCCAACCGGGTGAGGATTTCCTCGATCTCCGGCGAGAGGTCCGGAGGTGGTTGGGTGTCTCCGGGGAGCGCCGACTGACTGGATTCCGGAAGGGTTGCTTCATCCGGGATCAATAGACGCGCGGCGCGCCGGTGAGGGGCGTCCCCGCCCTGAACGGTGTCGCGCAGTGCTGCCAGCCGGGTGATGAGTTCCGGGGCGACGGGACCCGAGGCGGCGGCCGCGTCCGCTTCGGCGAGAAGGCTCTCATTCTGACCCGCATTGGCCGGGTCGGCCTCCGCCAGGCGTTCCAACAGGCCATCAAGGGCCTTCTCGCGCGACCGCACCCGCTCGGGATGATCTGGTGGCAACCGTTCGTCGGCTCGACGCCGGGCGAGCCGGCGGACCCCCTTGAAACCGGCGTTGCTTGCCGCGGCGAGCAGCAGATCGGGATCTTCCAACCGCCGGACCGCCGCTTGGGCACTTTCGCGATCTTCGGCCGAAATCGCCACCTGAAGCAGGCCGGCCGGACTGCCGATCGCCTCGAGAGCCTGACTCCGAAGGGCAGGGTCGGCGGCCTTCCCGGCCACCGTGGCGAGCGCACCGTCACGTTCCGCGCCCGCAGCCGGTCCGGTGGTCAGGCGCGCGAGTGCTTCGGAACGAACCGCCTCGAAGCGCGCCCGGCACGCCACTTCGGCCACCGCGCGCGGCGGGGCAAGGAGTCCGAGAGCGCGCTGCGATTCCTCGAGATCCCGATCGTCGGCAGCGATCTTGACGAGTAGCGATTCTGCGCGCGATCGGGCGAGACGCCGGGTGGCGTCATCGCCGGCGCTGTCCGTGAGTTCCAGCAGTACGCGCGGCGCCTCGATGCGGCGCACTGCCTCCTTGCGGACCCGCGCATCAGGATCGGAACGGGCGAGCTCCGCCAGCGCTGCGGTGTCCTCCGGGGGATGTTTCTGAACAGCCTTGACGCGGACGGCGGCGTCGCGGCTTCGCAGCGGAGAGGCGAATCGCTCGAGTACGGACATGTACGTGGGGGCGCGAGAATATAGAGGCTTGGAATCGACGCAACCCCTCAAATTCAGTTTTCGTCCGCTGCGCCACGATTTGATCGGCGGCGTGCGGCCGCCGGGTGGGATGGATTCAGGGCGGATGGACGGCCCGGGGAGAGCCGCGTCCCCCGGTTCGTGGCAAAGGCCCCGGTGCCCCGGAAGGTAGCCTTCCCGAGTTCCTTCGTCGTTGACTACCCGTCCCGAGAGTTCCTCGTTCGTCTGGCCCGGTGTGGTCTTGGGCAGCGTCATTGCTCTCGGGCTGCTCGACCAGCAGGTGCTGACCCCGCTGATCGCCGCGCTCGCCGAAGGGCTCGAAGTCGGCGTTCCGGATGTGGGGCTCGCTATTTCGGTCTATGCCTTTGCGGCGGCGTTTGCCGGGCTGGTCATCGGCCCGCTCTCCGACTCCCGTGGCCGCCGTCCCTATCTGCTCCTGGCGGCGTTGCTGATGCTGGGCTCGGCGGCCCTGATTGCCCTGTCTCCGCGCTACGGGTATTTCATGTTGGCCCGGATCGCCGCCGGGTTCGCGGGGGGCACGATCGCGGCGCTCGCCTTGGCGTGGATCGCCGACCTGGTGCCGTACCAGCGCCGGGGAAAGATCATGGCCCTCCTGATGGGCGGGGCGATGGGGGCGGCGGTGTTTTCGCAGGTCGGCGCGGCCTTTGCGGCAGCGCGTTTCGGACATCGATGGGTCTATGCCGCGATCGCGCTCTTCGCGGTTGCGGCGCTGGCAATGCTGGCTGCATTGCCGGAACGCCGGACGGCGGGCGAAAAGCCGGGATCCCTCGGGCAGAGTCTGGCCGGACATCTCGAATTCCTTCGGAGTCCGGCGCACCGGAACGCGGCGTTCGCCGCCTTTTGCATGTCCGGGAGCCTGGTGGGGGTGTCCGCCTACGCTTCCGGGTGGCTCCAGGAAGTACGCGGTTTCCCGCTGGAGCAGGTGGGCCTGCTCTACGGGGGTCTGGGCGCCGCGATCATGCTGGCTCAGGTGCTTTCCGGCCCGCTCTCGGACCGCTTCGGCAAGCGCCGCTTCACGCTGGTGGTATCGGTGGCGGTCGCCGCCCTCACTCCGGTGCTCCCCGCGTTGCCCACCGTGCCGCTGGTCGCCGCGCTGCTCCTCTTCGGATGTCTCGGAGTGGCGCGCATCGCCGCATTCGCCGCTCTTCGGAGTGAGCTCGTACCGAAAGCCCGCCGCGCGGCGTTCATCGGGTTTTCGAACGTGTTCTCCCAACTCGGTATTGCCTCCGCCGCCGCCGCGGGCGGATTGATCTATCCCTACGGTTTCGAAGCCGTTTGCTGGATGATGGCTGGTCTCGGCGGACTGGCGGCGCTCCTGATCCTGCGGGTTCCGGAACCGGGGCCGGCTGGCGGACAGCTCCCTCCGAGGGCATGAGCGTCACGGGGAAACGCCGCCGCCGCGCGATCCGGATTCTTCTGTTTGGCGCGGGAATCCTGCTTCTGGTCGCCCTCTCGCTGCCGGTGGCGGTGGGTGTGCTGCTCGCAAGTTTCGCGGGGACGCGGCCCCAGGACCGGGAGGATCGTGCGACGCCGGGGGATTTCGGCAACTCCTATCGAACCGTCTTCCTGGAGAGCGAGGACGGGGTGCGTCTCTCGTCATGGCTCATTCGGGCTCCGGAGCCGGCGGGGTGTTCCGTAGTGCTGGCGCATGGCCTCTTCCGGTCACGCCGCGAAGTGCTCGACCGGGCCGCATATCTGGTCCGCCGCGGATGCCACGCGCTGGCTCTGGATCTCAGACGCCATGGGGAGAGCGCCGGCGACCGCACGAGCCTGGGCTACTTCGAGTCCCTTGACGTGGTGGCGGGGGCCCGCTTCCTCCGTCGCGAGTACCCTCGGGACCGTCTCTATCTTCTCGGCGTGTCGATGGGAGGAGCGGCGGCGGCACGAGCCGGGGCTGTCATCGTCGACGACATCGCGGGAGTAGTGCTCGACAGCACCTTCCGAAACGCTCCCGAAGTGGTGGACCGCTACGCGGAACTCCTGCTGGGTCTGCCTCCCTTTCCGGCCGGGGACCTGACCCTGATCGGACTCAGCCTGACTGCGGGTTTCGATCCGGGGGAGATGGACGTGGAGAAATTCTCGGCGCGTCTAGGCGAAGGGGACGTCCCGATACTCGTCATCGCCGGCGATGAGGACCGGCGGGCTCCGCTTGACGTTCAGACTGCTCTGTTCCGAGCGAGCGGTCACCCGGCGAGCCGGATGATCGTCGTCGAGGGGGCGAGGCACGGGCGCCCGTGCGTCGTGGATCCGCGGGTATGCGAGGCGGCGCTCGTGAAATTCCTTGGTCTCTCGGCAACGGAGGCCGGAAAGTCGGAGCCACTGCTCTACGATGAGGGCGTATGACAACAAACGGTGCGGCCAAGGATCTCAATCTCGAGCGAAGCGTTCACGGGCTCGTCCACGAGGCGGCGCGGGCGATCGAGCTTCCGGAGGGTCTGCTCAATCAGATCTGCATTACGGACTCGATTTACTACACCCGGTTCCCGGTCAAGTTCGGCAACCGCGTCGAGGTCTTTTCCGGCTGGCGGGCGGAGCACAGCCACCACCGCCATCCGCTGAAGGGCGGTATTCGCCTAAAAACAACTAAAACTATAACAAACCCCCCCCCCCCCAACCTCCCGCCCCCCCCCACCTCCTCCCCCCTCCCGATCGCTTCTCCCTGCTCCCGTTCTCTACGCTACCCCCCCTTCTAGTCCCTACCTCTCATCGCTTCGCGCTCGCTTCCTGTCCTTAGGCACCGTCGTGTCGCGTCCGTGGGCTGTGACAACTAGGCTTTGGGCATCGTTCGCCGTCTGGGCCGGCTCCTCCTCAGTAGGCATGCTGGCCTCTTTGCGGCATGCTGACCGCTCGGGAGTCTAAATGCCCGACCCGCTGCGTTTTCCTGGAACTCTCTTCTCTGCGTGGCGTCTATCTCAGATGGATATTCTCCGAGAACATTGGTCTCCAAACTTCTCTCATGCCTCTCTTCTCGTTTTCTCTGCCTCGGGTCGGGGATCCGCCGCTCCCCGGATGGAGGCTGGTGAATCAACAGGAAATCAGTGCGCTCTCGGCGCTGATGACCTACAAGTGCGCCATCGTCAACGTACCCTTTGGAGGTTCGAAGGGCGGCATCGCCTTCGACCCGCGTCGCTACAGCCCGGAACAGTTGGAGCGCATCACCCGGCGTTACACCGCGGAGCTGATCCGCAAGAACTTCATCGGTCCCGGCGTAAACGTTCCGGCGCCCGATCTTGGGACGGGACCTCGCGAGATGGCCTGGATCGCGGACACCTACGACGCGCTGCATCCCGGCGGCATCGACAATTTCGCGTGTGTCACCGGCAAACCCGTTACCCAGGGCGGAATCCGGGGACGTGAGGACGCCACCGGGCGCGGCGTCGTGCTGGGTCTCGCGCGGGGACTCGACTTTGTCGAGGACTTTCCCGGAACCGGACTGACCCGCGGCCTGCCGGGCAAGGAAGTCGCCATTCAGGGTTTCGGCAACGTCGGCTTCCACACCGCTGACATCCTCGTTCGCCGCGGCGCGAAGGTCGTCGCCATCGGCGAGTGGGACGGCACGGTCGTCGTCCGCTCCGGCCGGGGGATCTCGATACCGGATCTTCTGGAGTGGCGCTCGGAACACGGCACGATCAAGGGCTTTCCCGATGCCGAGGAAGAACTGCCGCCGGAAGCGATCCTGGAAGTGGAATGCGACGTGCTGGTCCCGGCGGCCATCGAGAACGTGATCCACGGCGGGACCGCTCCGCTGGTGCGCGCGAAGCTCGTTGCCGAGGCCGCGAACGGTCCGACGACTCCGGAGGGTGACCGCATCCTCGGGGAGCGCGGCATCCCGGTCATTCCGGATGTCTATCTGAATGCGGGCGGGGTGGTGGTGTCCTACTTCGAATGGGCGCGCAATCTGTCTCACATGCGTTTCGGCCTCCTCGAGAAGCGGCTCGAAATCGCCAACACGAATGCCTTGCTGAACGCGGCGGAAACGCTCTCCGGCCGGCGCCTGAGTCCGGAAATGCGGCAGAACCTGGTCACCCAGTCCGACGAGAAGGAACTCGTGGTCAGCGGCCTGGAAGAAAAGATGACGCGCGCCTACGACGAAATCCGGGAGGCCAGGGTGCGGCTCCCGGAGTGCGGGACGCTCAGAAACGCCGCCTACGTCGTGGCCCTCGAGAAGATCCGGCTTTCGTACGAGGAACTCGGAATCTTCCCCTGATCTGAGCAGCCTGTGGACAAAGTGACGCGGCGTTTGGCCGGCGATGCATCCCTGCTGAACCGCGCCGCTTCGCGTCGCTCATCGTTGCGCTTCGGTCGAAATACGCTCGGCCAGTTCTCCCGGTGGGGGCTCCTCCCTCGCGCGCCTTGTCAGCCGGGCGCCTCACCGTCCTCGGCGCTCACGTCACTTCGTCCACCGACTGCTCGCAACCTGTGGACAAAGTGACGCGGCCCAGTTCTCCCGGTGGGGGCTCCTCCCTCGCGCGCCTTGTCAGCCGGGCGCCTCACCTCTCTTCTCGGCGCTCACGTCGCTTTGTCCAAAGGTTGCCAGGAACCATCGGGGCGCCCTGGGGATGACGCTCGCCAATCAGCTCACCGTTCTTCGGTTGCTGCTGGCCCCCGTCGTGGTCATCTGCATCCTCTACGGCCGCTTCGGGCTCGCTCTTTCCGCGCTCCTGGTGGCCGGCCTGACCGACATGATCGACGGGCCTCTCGCGCGCCGGCTCGGCGAGAACAGCGACCTCGGCGCCCTCCTCGACCCGCTCGCCGACAAGGTCCTCATCGTTTCCGCGGTGGTGACTCTTGCCGCCCCCATCGAGGCGGTGTCGGTCCGTATCCCGGCCTGGGTGGCGATCCTGGTCCTGTCCCGGGACGCGACGATTCTCTTCGTGGCGGGGGCCTACAACGTGGCGGTTCAACGGCGGAAGTTCACTCCCAGCCGGCTGGGGAAGGCCGCGACGGTGATCAACGTCGTGGGGATTCTCTGGTTCCTCGTCGCGAACCTGTTCCAACTGGACAGCGTCGTTACTCCGCTGCTGCTGGCGGCGATGGTGACCCTGACGGCGATTACCTCGCTCCAGTACCTCTGGCGCGTCCGCATGCTCTAGCAGCCGGTGGTGGAACCCAGGCGGCCCAGTTCTCCCGGTGGGGGCTCGCCCGGCGATGCATCCCGGCCAAACAGCCGGTAGTGAAACCCGCGCGGCCCAGTTCTCCCGGTGGGGGCTCGGCCGGCGATCCATCCCGGCTGACCGCGTCGCTGCGCGCCGCTCATCGTTGCGTTTCGGTCGAAATACACCAGGTATTCCTCCCTCACGCGCCTTGTCAGCC